TCCCCGCCTCCTCCCAACTGGTGCAAAATTAATACTGATGGTTCCCGTAAAACAGGAAATGGATTTGCTAGATGTGTTATTCAGTCTTAATAATGGTTCATCTGAAATTCAGCTTTTGAAGCTTCTCCCATTAACAGAGCAGGAATCAAATATTGGAAGAAGAAAAAGAAAAAGAAATTGTTTTCAATGGTAAGCGTGATTGATGATCGACAGGAGCCTTGTTGCTATCATGGACCTCACGTTGCCCAAAAGATTTTGGGGCCTTACTCATATCTTTGATGATGATGATGGCCTAATATGTTATAACCAATACATGAGAGATATAAAATTAAATTTAAGATCAAATCATTAATAACAACATACTAAGTTTGCGAAAACATATCTAAATCCATTGTTGAAGATTATCTAAATGGTTGAGATCTATTTATTGAGAACTACTATTATTTTATGTAAATGATTCAATAATCAGTTGTTATATGCATTTATAATCGTGCTTTCATCAAATTATAAATATAACTTCAATGGTATCTACACTTTTATTCGCATGATACTTCTAATATTGTACGACAAATGTAATACAAATTGTCATAGCCAGCTCTAAAGGGAGCACCTTGAGCAATCGCTCAGGGTCCTCGATTTTTTTATATTTATAATTAGGGTTTTCAATTTTCTATATTTATAATTAGGGTCCCTAATTGTTATAATTTCATAAAATTTTTAGTTTTAACCATCTTTTTTCGTTTCTCTTATTAATTCATTCAATTTTAAATTAAATCCATTCATATTTTTCTCTTTTTTTCAAATCTTACTCTTTAATTTATTAAATATTCTTTATTTTTTAGTCTTCTTCACTCTCAATCCAACAATAAAATAATATACAATTCTTTTTTTTTTTATTATTCAAACTCAAGCTATGTATCATATGCATATTCAATTTTTTATAACTATTATCTCTTAGTTGTATTTAAGGTGTTTTCTTAATAAAATAATAAAAGTAATATATTTTCACTAAAATTAATCATTTTCTATGATTTATTTATGTAATATTGAATTACTTTTTTAAAGTAATAAAATATACTTTCATTTTATAAAGACATATCTTCGAATTTTTGTTCAGAGCTTAAAAAATGTCTGAAACAACTCTGTAAGTTATTATTTAATTTTATATCATATTTTACGATAACCTTATACATACGTAGCCATAGTTATGAGTTTTAATCCAACATAATACAGTCCAAAAATTTCATTTAAATATCATTTTTTTTTGGGATTCGTTGGGTCAAAAGAATGTAGTCCTTGGAATGTAAGTGTGAAAGTGAAACACACTAATGAGTGCCCCAAAGATTACTATTGTAGTCGCCATAGACATTGACTTGTAGTTAGAGCATGGAAGTTTCATGTTTGGTTCGAGATGTACACTCACAATCCCACCGACCTCCATCAAAACACTCTAAAGTCTATATATTCTTTTCTATTCTTTTATGTGGGGTTGCTAAGACTTTACAAGTCATCCACTCTTTTCGTTGTTCTTTTCTATATATAAAAAAAAGATAAATTACACGTTAGTATTTAAATTATACGTTTTGATCTGTTTAATACATAAATTTTCATTTTTTTAAATCATGCCTAAAGTTTAGTCTTTGTTTTATTTTAGTACTCTCGTTTAAAATTTAACATTATTTTTTGATTTTTTTTTGAAAGTTTAGGTACTAAAACGGACCAAAACTGATAGTGAGTACTACAATGAAACAAAAACTAAACGTTAGGTATGATTTTAAAAAGATTGAAAGTTTAAGTACTAAAACAAACTAAAATTAATAGTTTAAGTACTAAACGGATAGGTCAACGTAAGTGTTCATACTTTTAAACATTAAAAGGATTCACAAGTGTTACGATATCCATAGATATGATTCCATCAAAAGGGTAACATTTACCCTTGTAGGAGACTTATTTCATCATTTTCCACTGTCATATTCTTACATCAATTTAGTCATCGAAGTTGCTCAATTGCATCATTCTACAGCACACCCCCAACTTAAACCTAAATTATAAATCTTAAACCCAAAATCATAACTCCATAACCTTTAAACCATAAATCTTAACTCTAATGCCTACCTTAGAGTTTATAATGTTGGGTTTTAAGTTAGGGGTAAGATATATAATGATGAAATTAAATAATTTTGAAGGCTAAATTGATGTGAAAATACGTTAGGGACGAAAATGATAAGTTAGATCTATTGCAAGAGTAACGGTGACCCTTAAGTTTTTTTAAAATGAAATTTGAATTTCAAAATCGGTTAAATTTGTTCTTAAGCTTGATCTCATTCAACGTGAAATAATTACAAAGTATCAATTTTATATATTTATATATTATTAATTATGTTTCAATAAAAATGCATGTCAAAAAAATGTTATTATTAGAATTTATTTTAATTTTATATATTTTTTATTTTTTTTATTTTAAAAAATTATATAAAAAATAAAAAATATATATTAAATTGAAATATATTGGAGTTAAGATTCTGGTTAAAGTTATAAATCAAATTCGGATTAGGCGGATTTTTTTTAAGATCGGGTCAGAATTGTTTGATTATTTCAGCGTCAAATTGGATGAAAACTTTACAAAAGTAATATATAAAAATAAAAATACTTTTGAATTATAAATAATATGTATAAAATTATATTATTAAATAAAATTAAACTAATCTCAACTATAATTGAACATCTATATTATTTTAGTTAGAATTATAGAAAGATTTTAAGTTATAAATCATATTTATTATTTTCCCCTAATTTTTTAATCAAAATAATATTATTTTGTGACATTTTAATTATTAAAATAACACCGTCTATGTAACACTCACGTCATTATATCGTTGCTGAATTAACGATTTGATGATAAATTTAAAATTATAACAAAAAAATATAATATTATAATTAGAATGCTATAAAATTAATTAGTATAATTAATTAGTATGAAAATAACGACGGTGCTATAATGTAATATTAAAATATTATTGCCAATATAGTAGAAAAAGGTAATTATATAGTATTTATTTAGTCATCCTGGCATCATCGTGACATATGGCCCCATTTTCTTTTCTTTTTCACAGCAATGGACTCCACTTTAAGGGGAAATTTACATGTTTAGTATCTAAGCTATCACTTTCAATCCGCTTTAGTATCAAAACTTTTAATTTTTTTAAAAGCATATCTAATTTTAATTTTTGTTTCATTTTAGTACCAACGGTAAAAACTTAATGCATTTAGCATATAAACTATCAGTTTTGGTCTATTTTATTACATAAACTTTCAAAAGAAAAATCAAAACTTAACGTTAAGTTTTTATATGGTATACTAAAATGAAACAAAAACTAAACATTATGTATGATTTAAAAAAAATGAAACATTTAGTATTAAAACCAACTAAAATTAATAGTTATGTGTTAAATGCTTAATTTACCCTTTATTTAATATCACCAAACATTAACGGGTTGTATTTAAATTCCGGTCGCTGACAATCATTTCGTAACTCTTAAGTTAGATCTTCGGTGCCTCAATATGTGGTGCCCAATTTTTTTAATTAATTCGGAATAAATATAAGATAGTAATTATTTAAATATAAATTTATAATTTTTTAATATTGAAGATTCGTATCTCTAGTATTTATGGTGTTCAAACTCAAAACTTAAAGAATAACAACAATTTTTTTATTACGAAAACTACTTGATTCAGACATTTCGATCCTATTTTTATAAAACATTAAATCCAAAATCTAATATAAAGTTAATTCTAGAAATGGAAATTATATATTATGGTGTGAAAAGGTATTATAAATACAAACAAAACGTCGCTAAATAGAATAAGAATATGAAACACGGGGTCGTTTCATATGACTATGCCAAATGTGAGTCAGTTGACTACAAATAGATTCTCATTCCTTTTCGAATTATGAGTGACGAATTCTATTTCGTCGCCTTTGCCTAGTTGTACACGGAATACCCTCTAGTCGTTCTTTTCGATTTTCTAATAACGTAAACGAAACGCTGCGCATTGTCAATTAAGTTCACATGCACGTCAACTCAGCTTTAGCGACGAAATACTAAAGTACTATCTAAAGGACTCACCTGGCAAATGTGTTCGTGTAGGACAATAGAAGAAAAAAAAACAATTTCTTATATAAGGATTCCATCATATTATTTTATGAATTTGAATCACTGTTATAGTGTCAAAGAGAAGATATACACGACATTATATGCATGTTCCATCAAGAAACTGAAGTAGCATGATGTTCTTGATGTCCTCCCATGACACTGTAGTAATAACCGTAAATTAAAATATAATATGATAAAAGTCTTGTACAAGAAAATCTTTTTCCTCACGGTCCTACATGAGCAAATTTCCGAGTCACCTCTTTTATTCACTTTAATTTGAACATGCGAAGGAGAAAATGCCTCGCTAGGCTGTGTGTGGTTCATTAGTCGTAATCCAGACGAAATCTCGCCAATTGTTTTCAGTCTCGCCGTGACGTTAACGATCGTCGGAATAAGTGGTTTTAAGATGCAAATCTTGATCCTTGGCGTCAAAATCACGTTGATTTGTATGACGGATGGTGATAGAAGGGTTTCATTTTAATCATCTTTTTTATCACTAAAACGAATTAGTGAGAGGACAGTCTAACTGCTTCCCTTCCCATTTAAATTAAGGGAATCTCATTAGATAAAGCTACCCCTACAAAACAAATGAGCACAGCCCTGTAATTATGGAATGGGAGGGGTCCCCTGTCCTAAAAACCACTTATTGCAGCCAAAACAACGGACTTTAAATTCAAAATTAGAATAAAGTTTTGGTGACAATAATTTCGTTATGCAAACATAAATCTAATCATCTGTGTATCTGTGTTATAATCTAGTTTAAGGTATTGCATGAATTTAGCAATCTAACAGTTCTGAAAAATTACAAAGCAGTAGCAGAAATATCCAATGGTTTATTACTGTATATTTATATATACCGAGCACAATTATACAAGAGACTGAAAAATAAATAAGTGGTCCGACAATAGATAACACCTGCAACGTGAACAAGGGAGTATGAGGATGTTACAAAATCCGCAGAAATCAGTTGCCATTGCTGAATCCATCATAGGGTTTGGTGGATTTCTTTGATTTTCTCTTCAAAACTACGATCCAAGTGATGACTTCCAACAGCAACGAAATACCGCCCAAGGCGACGATCACAACCGTATAGGCTGTTCTCCATTTATGTTGAGGGCTCAAGATATTCAGGCCCTTGAACACGTTCACGATGCCGAGGATCACGATGGTGTATCCGAAGCTGTGGTGGTAAATGTTCCAGTAGAATCGATACTTGTGATCCTTCTTTGGCCTTATAAACAAGGCAAAAATCTAACAAAGAGTGGAAGCCGAACAATAAGTTGCAAGTTTTAGACGCGATTGTAAAGATCCAGAAATTGACAAAGTAAGAATCACCCAAGAGTTTATGGAAAACTCCCAATTTTGTTATGGAAATTCAAAGGAATATACCTGGACGGTAGCGAGAGCGAAAAGGGCAATTCCAATGTTTCTGTGAGATGAATATGTGATCCCTGGGGATTCACTTCCAAGCTTAAGACCAGTTCCCCAGCCTGCAACACCAATGGCATATGCTGATACTTGACAGAAGACATGAAGGTAAAACCAGGCTGGATCTGCCGATTCAAAGGTTCTTATGTAGCGTGCAATTATTGCCCCCAGTGGAAACAAAATTCCCCAACTCACCGCGTTTAGAATCCCATGAATCTGGAATTAGTGAATTCTTTTGTCAAATCTCAACAAATTCATCAAAAAAACTCAAATCAATCTAAGATTTCAACGAATTTATTGAAAGGGAAACTCACATTTTTCTTCTTAAGCTTGTCCTTTCCTCCGGAACCAGTGGTGCTCTGTCCGCTTTTCAAATCTAAAGTTCCTTTAGCTTGTAAATTAGCGGCGGCGAAATTATGTTTCTCCAACATTCCACCAGCTCCGACGCCGGGACCCACTTGCCAAACCTGATTAATCTTCCCACTCGCCGCTAAAGCCGCAGGCACTTTTATTTTAGCGAAAATCGCCAAACTCCCGTCGCTTCTGCTCTCCGCTGTCTTATCCCAGACCTCGAACGACAGATCCTTGGGCACAATCGAACCGTACGAGGCGACGTCATAGGTATAGACCTGGACGGTGCCGGTGGAGGAATTTTTGTAGGCGACGAGGGATTGCGAACCCACCATGCCGGTGGATTTCGGGTTTATGGCCCACGCAATCCAGCCGGTCGATTTGGAAGGAGTGGCGACGAAGGCGATGGAGAGAGTGGTATTGGCCGAATCGTAAGAGAAATGGAGGTAAGAGGAAAGAGAAGGGAGATCGAGGCAGTTGGAGTATATTTGATTTTTGTTAAACTTCTGGGAGGAGCAGGTGAAAGACACCACCGGCGAAATTACAATTGCCAAAAGCCATAGCCAAATAACAGCGAGCGGCGGTCGTGAAGACGACGGAGCCATTTTATTTCTTTATTTTCCTCTTCTTTTTCTCCAGACAAAAGAAAACCACAGGAGCAAAATAATTACGGACAACTGGCTCAGTGACGAGGACTGAAAGTTGGCGGATTAAATAGAGGCCGTAAACTACTCAACTAATAACTTGCTGACACGTGTTAAATACTTTTACTTAGAACACGCCCTATATAAAGCAAAATCACCAGAAACTCAGTAAAAATATGTCGTGTAATAAATAAAATAAAGTTTTAATTATATTCTCCACCACAATCTTTTTTACTGTTTATTAACTAATAATAGCAATTCAATTGATAGTTATAACATTAATTTTCTTTGGAAATAAATTAATAAAAAAATCTTACGAAATCAAATTTTAAATGTAACGCCATGAACAAATTCTCTTGGTAAGGAAATAAACTAATGAATTTTGATTAAAAGTTTTCTTTAATTAGGTTTAATATATATTCTCACTTTGTTCGACCAGTAAATTGATTTTTAAGTTTAATTCGAGTCTCTCGACTCTATATAAGACATGTATTGTATATAATTACAGAAAAATCGTTTAAATTGAAATCAAATAGTAGTATTATAAATATTTATAATTAAATTTAAACAAAAACTCGATCAGCTTGACTTGAAAAAACTACAAATCAAGTCCGAGTTATAAAATATGAATCATCAACTCGAATAATTCAAAAAAAAATTACTCAACTCGATCAAGCGCTCACCCCTAATTGAACCCTTAGAGTGATCTCAGTGATTAAAGAAAACGTTGTTCTCTATATATATTGGATTCCGGCAACTAAATCTCCAATGTGTATCTGTTGTCAATTGTCTAAGAAAACATATGAACAAATACTATCTTCGTCTTGCAATCTCCTCCAACTATTAAAAAATTACCATTAGAATTACAATCACAAAAATTACATATATTATATATTATAATTTAATTTCAAAGAGTGATTTTCAGGACAACATATTTATGTAAAATATAAAATAGTAATTGAATTAGTGACAAGAAATAATTTATAAAATAAGAATGATACTTACCCAAATTAATTAATAAAAAGCTTATATAAAAATTTAAAATTTTCAAAAATTCTCCGCTACCACTGTTGCAATGCTTATTGAGAACAGTAATAGGGTTCATTATACTGGAAGCTAATTAGTCAAAAGGTAGACACATTATCTCTATCTTGCCTTCGAATTTAAGTTTTTCACACACATATATGCATACTTGTGTTGCCAGATTAGGAATATATTGGTAAAAAAAATTAATTTAAACTTTATAGGCCTTCTTAGGAGACGTACAATGAACATGACCCGGAAATTCAGTATTTTCAATTTACTATATTCTTATATATTTGTTTGAAGTATTGCCCGTCTAGTTCAATTGGTAGAACACAAGACTCTTAATCTCGTGATCATGGGATAGAGTCTCACGGTGGACAATTTATAATTTTGACTGCTGGAGGTCTTCCATGAAAACTGTTCTCAACCTGGCGTTGGGGGCACCCTACTATCCTACCTCCTCTTACCCTATTACATATGAGAATATGGTAAGCTAATTTTATATATTTGTTTGAAACTCGTATATTTTACTTATAAAAGGATGTGACGTCAAGGATGATTTAATTATATTATGTATAGTATTGTTTTATAATTCCAAAATATAATAATTTTTTTTAAAAATAAAGTAACAATTTATATTAATGTTTAAAAGTCTTTAAAATAAATATTATTATTAGTAACCACTATAGATTAATAAAAAAAAATATCAATTGAATAACAGTGATTGATTCAAGTGGTAAACAGTTTGATATCGCTTCAGCAAGGTCTCGGATTCGAGTTCTTGTGTATGTTGAAAATCTCTGTAGGGAGACTCACCCACCAAAGTCAGGTGTATAATACGGGTCGGTCCGGATTAGTCAGAACGAAGCCTTAAAATCGAGAGGATAAACAAAATTTCAATTGATATTTATTATAAAAATATATATATTATCTATAATAAAATCAAAACGGATAAAAAAATAAGACATAATGCAACAAATCGCCCTTAACGTGTGACGACAATGTCGTTTTGACCCCTATTCTTTTTTTGAAAAATATAAACCCCTAACGTTCACTTTAAGGTAAAAAAGACCTTATGTGATGGAAACTGTTAGTTAACTAACGATCAACGTATAAAGATGATGTGACAAGCTTACATGACATCAAATGTTGACATGAAAATGTTACATATACAAAGGTGATAACGTAACAAATGTCATGTGAACCAAAAAAAAATTCTTAAACAAAATTTATATGTTTTTATTTAATAATTATCAGCTAATAAAATAATGACATGTGTTATCATTTTAAAATGTACGCTTGTTGGGTATTGAATCCATATTATTATTATTATTATTTCATTGGGTTAAAAATGAAATTTTAGGATGTGTTTGTTGGGTAAAAAGGTTTATTAACTTTCCACCAAACCGAGTCTTAAACTTGGTTTTCTCTTGCAAAAAGTAATATTTAATATACACATTGTTGGGCATTGAAGGTCAATGCTTATCTCTTGTTTGCAAAGCATCTCGTCTCATTCATTTCCTCGCGCTTTCCATATCTACTCTGAAACCTCCAATATTTGTTGGGGTCAATCAAACACCATCGATTCCACAAACAACCCTGTTCTTGGATACAAGTTACCGAACCAGCTGGGGGTCATAATATCATTAAAAACAGAGAGTGTTGGGTTCTTTGGATAATTTGCACAAGCTTGTTCCAATGCTCGAGAAAATATGGGATTGTAATAGGTATCGGTGCTGATATTTGAGCTGAACTCTTTGCAATGAGAGAATTTGATCGTATGTGCATCTTCTTTGGAAACAACATGTGTTGTTTGCTGTTGCGAGCTCAACTCTTCTTGATCACATTGATGGGACGAGGGCTGTTCCTCCACAATACGTTCTATTATAATTATATTTTTATTATAGTGTATATAGATATAATTCATATATAATAATATTTTTTTGAATTTATTATAATTTAAATTAATATGATTTATATATAAGTGTAAATATAATTTACATGTTATGTTTTTTAATTCGTTTATAATTCACTTTTTTATCTTTTCAAACTTATATTTTAACATCAATCCCAAATAATTAAATTTTAAACTACATTTTTGTACAACATTTTTAAAAGTTAGTTTCTCCTCACTTCTAAAATTCACTTTTCAAAAGCTATACATGTATAATTTAAGAAGAAAAAAATTTAAATTAATGAATATTCACTTAAAACTCTCTTTACCAAATACGACCGATATAAAATGTAATCTTCAAAGTTGCATTAAAAATGGGTGGGAAAATATTTATTGGATGTATACGTAGTTAGAATCGCAGTAGCTTAATCTCCTAATAAAGATCTTTATATATATATATATATATAGATACACACAATTGTTTGGTTCGGGAAATGTGAAATTCCAATGGGAATGAAATCTACATTCCCTTATTTGGTTGACCGGAAATCTCATTCCCGGTAATATTTTATTACTAATAGTAGATTTTTTAGGTATATTACCGGGAATATCATTACCTCCATTCCCTTAGGTAGTTAGGTATTGTTGGATTACTGGCGTTTTGGACTAAAATGCCCTTAATTTTTTTTTTTCAAAAATATTCTTCTTCTGTCATTGAATAATAAAAATTCTACGAATGTTAAATTACAAATTTATCCTTAAACTATTTTAGATTTACAAAAAAATCTATAATTAAAATTTTATATGAAGTTCAGGTGTTAAAATAAATTTTATCCTTCTATTAAACCTTTTTATATTTTCAATTTTGTAAAAAAATATATATATAAATTTTATGAATTTAATTTTTTTAAAGAAAATATACAAATATTTTCTAACTTGTTAAAAAAACAAATATATAATAAGGACAATTTGGTTAAATATACATTCCAATAATCTTTTATTTCTTTAATCAAACATGATAATCTTACATTCATGCTAAACAAACCAAACACAAAATACAACATTTCCAGTAATCCTATTCCTTGGTAATCTTTTATTCTCACTGGTAATCTTACATTCTATAAACCAAACGTACCCTTAAGGACTTATGGTGTGTTTGGTTGGGGGAATGTGGATTCCATTCCTTATTTGGTTGGCCGGAAATCTCATTCTCGGTAATATTTTATTACCAATAGTAGATTTTTTTGGTATATTACCGGAATACCATTACCTCCATTCTCTTAGGTAGTTATGTATTGTTGGATTACTTGTGTTTTGGACTAAAATGCCCTTAATTTTTTTTCCAAAAATATTCTTCTTCTGTCATTGAATAATAAAAATTCTACGAATGTTAAATTACAAATTTATCCTTAAACTATTTTAGATTTACAAAAAATCTATAATTAAAATTTTATATGAAGTTCAGGGGTTAAAATAAAATTTTACCCTTCTATTAAACCTTTTTATATTTTCAATTTTGTAAAAAAATATATATATAAATTTTATGAATTTAATTTTTTTTTTTTAAAAATATACAAATATTTTCCAACTTGTTAAAAAAACAAATATATAATAAGGACAATTTGGTTAAATATACATTCAAATAATATTTTATTTCTTTAACCAAACATGGTAATCTTACATTCTTGCTAAACAAACCAAACACAAAATACATCATTTCCAGTAATCCTATTCCCTGGTAATCTTACATTCCATGAACCAAACGTACTCTTAAGGACTTAGGGTGTGTTTGGTCCGTTTGGTTGGTCGAGAATGTTATTCCCGGTAATCTTACATTACTAATAGTGGATTTTTTTGGGGTATATTACCGAGAATGTCATTACCTCCATTTCCTTAGGTATTGTTGGATTACCGACGTTTTGAACTAAAATGACCTTAAATTTTTTTTCTTCAAAAATATACTTATTCTGTCATTGAATAATAAAAATTCTATGAATGTTAAATTACAAATTTATCCTTAAACTATTTTAGTTTTATAAAAAAATATAATTAAAATTTTATATGAAGTTCATAGATTAAAATAAAATTTTACCCATTCATTAAACCTTTTTATATTTTTAATTTTGTAAAAAATTTATATAAATTCTATGAATTTAAATTTTTTAAAGAAAATATATAAATATTTTTTGAATTTGTTAAAAAAATAAATATATAATAAGGACAATTTGGTCAAATATACATTCTAATAATCTTTTATTCCTTTAACCAAACACGGTAATCTTACATTCATGCTAAACCAACCAAACACAAAATACAACATTCTCAGTAATCTTATTCCCTGACAATTTTTTATTCTCACTAATAATTTATATTCCATAAACCCCAACCTATTATATTACTATTTGAAGCGGGAAAAGGTGCATTGATGACGTTTCCGTGAAATTAATGCGCGTGTTATCTATTTTCCCAAGTCAATAGTTCGTGCTTCAGTTATCGATGCATTAATTTTCAATTGAAACTAATCCAAATCTGCAATTTGGTCTTACTTTTTGTCTATGGTACAAGTTGTTCATAGTAAACATAACATATTAATTATTGCTTCGTACATAATAAAAATGAAAACAAATATTTCATGATAATTTGTCTAAAGAAAGATCATTACATGGAAAAATGTCATAAATAAATAGATATTTCGTGCTAAAATAATTCATTATGTTCCCTTTTTTTTATTGTTGAAATCTTTAGAATCACATCAAAGCCAGCAAATAAATCAGACCCAAGATCCAAAATCCAGCATTTATTTCACTAACCCTCAGCCCATATCCCGAGTTCGAATTAGCAGACTGTGGGGACGGTGAAGGGGACGAGGCAGCCGGACTCAGTTTCTCCACCAGCTGCAACTCGCCAACAGCAGCCAAATTGGCTTTCTCAAAGTCGTGCTTCATCGGGTGACCATCGACGATCCCCGGTCCGACTTGCCACACCTGGTTCAGCTTCTCGGCACTGGCCGCGACTTTCAACGAGCCGTATAGGACCATCTTCCCGTCTTTGTCGGACTCTGCCTCCAAGTCCCAAACATCGAACGAAAGCTTCCCTTCGACGATGGAGCTGTAGGAGCTTATGTTGTAGGTTTTAACAACCATGGATCCGTTGGCTTTGAAGGCCAAAAGGGTTTGTGAACCCGCCATGCCGTTGGCTGTCGGGTTGACGGCCCAAGCAATCCATCCTTTGGGTTTCGAAGGAGCCGCCGTGAAGGCAATGGAAAGGGAGGAATTGGTGGCATTGTAGGTGAAATGTAGGGTCGAGTTCAGCGCCGGTAGCTCGGTGCAGTTGGAGTATTGCTTTTTGCCTCCGGAGAGTTTCAGCGACGAACAATCGGTAGCATGTGTGGCTGAGATCAGAGTGATGCTAAGACAAAAGAATAAAAACAGAGATGGTGGAAAACGAGACCCCATTATCAAAAAAAAAAATCGCCCTTTTTGCTGGTGCTAATGGTCGAATGAATGGTGCCGTTTTATTGGAGAGTTTCGGAAGGAATATATAAAGGGGGAAAACGGTAAAAGTGGAAGCTTGATTCGGGATAATAAGCCAATAGATTGACGCCACGTTGGTTCTTACTTTGAGCATTGGACGTGGCGGGTTATGATTGGTTGCATTGTCTTTGCTTTATTAACGGATTAATTTGACATTTTGATTTTTTGAACCGAGTGGGAATGGTGATTTATTAGGGGGAGATCCCATCACCGAAGAGGGAAAAAAAGGGAAATAAATTAAATAAATATTATAGATTGAGAGTAGGAAGTGGGGAAAGCACGTGGGTGATGCGTGCTACCGGTGATTCAATGTTCAGAGTAATTGGGGGACTGATAACGTGTTCGAGCTGTCACCAATTACAGTACCCAAATTATATGTGAACCGTATACTATTTGTTTAAGCGTGCTTTTATTCGGTTTATGATCAAGTTGCATGTTTAATATAGGGTTGTTAGTTCATCATTGTTTGTTTTTCAATTTTCCTTTTAGTTATTAATTTATTTTTAGTGTTACGTGCAACGCACGTGCCTTGTTTTTTTAGTGTTATGAATATAAAATTATAATCAAGAATCAAACGATTTCGGTAGTATTATTATTTTTAGAAGTATTGAATTTGAACGCATTATTTATTTATAGTAATATTTAAACGTTCATTGTCTAAACTACTGATGGAGCCAGCTATATGTGAGGCGTGCCGTATGACACCCCCAAAATGTTCTGTAATTTATAAATTAACACTTTAAAATATATACTTTTTTAAATTTAATATTTCAAAATATATTTTTTAAAATTCGTCGCTCCAAAATAAAGTTTTTAACTCCGCCCCTAGTCTAATCATTGTTTCTTTTAGAACAAATATTATTTTTTATAATTACCCCAATTTATGAACTCCCTTGCGAAATGCTGCCGGTCAACTATGTATAATAAAATTAATTGATCTATATGAGTTGACTCACTTATTTGTGGAGTAATTCATGCATTCAATTTCATCTTCTTCTTTTTATCAACGACTTGCCAAATTTACAATCCTCTCCCTTCGATTTTGATTTATACATGTATAATTTTAAAATTAATATATAAATGTAACATTAAGCTTTACAATACCGATTAAGCGTTGTTTAGACAATATCTAATTTCTAGTACCTCCTAGCCCAGAAAATGTAGTGCAACAAATTGATGAGGTTAAGGATGCAAAGGAGGGTGTAAAACAGATCCTAACGTGTAAGGTTCAGATCCTTTCCTCCCAGCCATTCTTTCCCGAAATCTCCGCTCACCGAGTTGCATACCGATACCAGCACCGAGCTGGTGAAGTACCCCATCGACGTCGAGCACCAAGAGAACGCGGTGCACATACTCCGCATGCTGTCCGGAGCCTCCGAGTAGAAGAATTAAAGCATTCTTCCGAGCGTCAACATATCCGACGCACCCAGAATCAAGTACTGCCACCCGAGCCAGAACAGAGATAAGATCACATCGTTATGCGCCTTATCGCGCCTCTTAGCCTCGACTAGAGCGGCGGCGGCCATTGACCCCGATGCAAGAGCCAGTCCTAGGCCGATCCGCCGCAGCGGTTGGAACATGTTGAGCATTCTAGGATGATTGTTGTTCTCTAATGGGAATAGGCGTATGAAATATTCGTATACGGGTATGGAAGTTAACATGATGAATAAAGGGAACGCCGTAATGACTGAGTTGGGATTTTGAAATTGTTAAGTGATCTATCCATGATGTTCCCTTGTTGCACTGAGAATGTCGTCAATTGAGCTAGGCAACAGTTCATCATGATGGTGCTTGCAAATATGGGGAGGAGGCCTAGGAATGTCTTTGTTTCTTCGACGTCCGTGGCCGTAATGGAGTCACCGATCAATGCTTTGTTTAGGAACATAAGCTTATCATGGTTTCCCTTTTCACCATAAATTTGAGTACCCTCTGCCTCCGGTAGTGATGTTTTCCTGTTTCCGATCGATGAAGCGAACACCTTAATAAACCAGAACAGAATGAACAATGTTAAGAACCCAGATTAGAGCCATTAAGCCAGAATGTTAACGCATTGGATGAAAATTTGTTGCTCTTTAACATTATAAATTCTTGTCAATGGACTTCCACCGGGGTGTTTGTATCGATAAATCGGGAACCCCATTGCGAAAATGCAGAGTGCAACACTTAGTGTCACCAGGGAAATCTTGAAACTCAAATTCCAACCCAAGTTTTCTTCGATCCAGATCATGACAGTGGAGGCAATGAGGCCACCGAAACATAGTGAAAAGAAGAACCAATTGAAGAAGGAAGAGATAAGACGCTGATTGTTGTGGTTAAGCTGATCAGCACCATGAGCAGGCAAGGTAGCCTTAACGCCACCAACACCGGCAGCTATTGCATAAAGTCCGGTGTAAAGAATTGCCTCTTGGGTCTTCGAAGGCTTGCTGTTTATAGCCGGCAACAATCGGCTGTTCTGAGCTTGAATTGTCAGCAGTATGAGTCCCTAAATAGAAAATTCCTTCGAGTTTTACTTCAATTTTATCATCAAACTGAAAACATTAACGTAAACGAAAGTATATACCGATAACTCAAGAGTGCAAAAGATGATGAACGTGTTGAATCTTGTGAGGAAAGAATCACTGACGAAACCTCCAAATATCGTCAGCAAAAAGGAGGCTCCCATGAAATTAGTGACCATGTTTGCAGATTCCGCGGCGGAGTAAAGCATTGAGTTGAGAAAATAGGAGACGAAGTTCGTGCCGTTGGATAAGACCACCATGTTCTCTAATACCTCAACCACTGCATAATTTAATGCCAACAACAACTTAAACCACGAACTATAATCCTAAATGAATCAAATTGGTGGGGTTTCACTTAAATGAACTTTAAATTAAAAAAAAGAATCTAAAACCAAACTCACCACAGGCAATGCTTGCAGCAGTAACACCGCCATGCCCAGGATCTGCATTTGACCCTCGCCAGTCCTCGAACTCTCCGTTTTCAATCACTATTTGTTCAGCCTGTTAACATATTATTATACATGTTAATGTGAAATCATCTTCAAATACAATGAATCAAATCACGACAATAATATCACACATATTAGGTTCTTTTGGAACTTACCATGAATATATAGTTGCAGGATTGGAATATTGAGCTTCTCTCAAGGACTGATGAAAACCCTTTTTTTGGAAATGGAGAAAGGCTGAAGGAAGGGAAGCAGCTGAGTGAAGAATTACATGGATGCATCCACTAGCATCATGTTTGGTAATCAAGAAAGAATGGATAACGAAGAAATAATGATAGCAAATATATCAAATTGTAACGAGTTTAATGTATTTTTTTAAAAAAATATAAGGCATAAGATAAGTATTAGGGTTGTAAACGAGTCGAGTTGAGCTCAAGTATTGTTGAAGTTGACTCGACTCGAAAACTCTAAAATAAAACTCGCGAGCCTAAAATTTTCAAGATCAATTAGAACTCGAAACCATGAATTGAAGTTCACCAAATCTCAAAATTAAAAAAAAAATCTTGAGCTTAACTCAGTTGAAGCTCAAACTCGAACCTATACCTTTAGTACATAAAAACCTTCTATTACATTTTCTTTAAAAATAAACATATAAATGTTAATATTATTAATAATTTTTCTTAAATATTAAAATTTCAATATCTAATTTTTTCGAGTTGATCGCGAGCTTTTCAAGTCGAGTATCAAATAGTTCGTTTCGGCTTGTTAAGAATTTGAGTCGAGCTCGAGCTTGAGCTCGAGTTAAGTCCATTCGAATTGAAAATTTATCGAGCGTTGACCGACTCGATCTAGAGTAGCTCACTAACTGTCTCGTTTCATTTACAACCCTAGTATATGTATTGTAACACCCCTAACTAGTACCAGACCCGTATAGGAGTCTGAGGTGTCACATTGACTTTTCAAAAAGATGTTCTTATAAAATAACAGAACATTTGGACTTATATTAAGAAAATACAATAATATACCGTTGAATTATGTTCGATATAACAAATTTAAGGAAAGAAACATTTTTATGAATAATACTATATAGTATGAACAGTACTGTGAACAGTAATGTACAATATCATGAACAATACCGAATGCTAAAAATTTTCAGAATGCTAAAATTTTTCAGAATGCTACAGGGGTATCGATATCCTACTACAGTGTACCGATACTCTTTCTACAGTAATTTCGGTTAACATGTATAAAATTCATAAAAATTTAAGCTTTCATTACTAAACTGTTATAATTTACTTAAATACGTTTAAAACATTACAAAACTCAATCATATGATTTTACAAAACCAATTAGAACATATAGGATTCAAACCTTTATTTTCATGCCAACCACAATTAGTATTACAAAATACAGACTATTCATTTCTTTTCTGATCTGATCTTTGGAAATGAGAACTGACATGTCTTGCTTAACTTTTATCATTCTTCCTCTTCTCGGAACCTATGTGTGAAACAATCACACGCTAAGTCGTTGACTTATTGAGGCATATAAAACATATAATAAAACCATAGAACATTTCACATAATAAAATGCATACATGCATATATACATACCATCATTATCAACATCAACCTCATTATCATGATCTCTACCATTATCATTAACCCATTTATCATATGATCTTGTACCTATCACTTCGGTATATAATGTAACTCATCTATCATTTCACAAAGAAACACACATAACATCATATAATAATACAATCGCTTTTGATATCTTTTATAGGCCCATGTACATTACTGATAACTTAAGGTATTTGAGTACATTGAGGTTGTGCACTTATACTGTCACCACAGCTCATATAAGTCCCACTGAGTGGCATATGAAATTTATCCCGAAGGACCTCTGTATACTGTATATGTCCCGAAGGACCGCGTAGACCCTCGACTCTTGGCATGCCAACTATACCTATACATCTCGTATCATATAACATGGGCATTATTATTTATCATTTCACATATTCATATAAGCTCATAGCTTCGTTCACATATACCTGTAATCATGTAGTTTCTTTTCATGTAGTTAATGTCAATTCTCATATTACATGTACATTTTCTCATATATCTCATATCATATAATTCATGCTCTATCCTCTTATGTTCACATGACATATAATGCATACAAATCATATTCATACATGCCTTTACTCATGAATTCATACATCATACAAATCATGACATCATTTGTTCTCATATGTTTCTCATACATCACATATATCACTGTTATTACATTAAAAGATAGACATGTAGTCTTATGTGCCCTATCAATACTATATGTTCATATAATCTCCTATTACCTTATAAGTAAATACTACTTATTTTATCTCACATTTCCATTTATTCTCCTAATTATTTATATCAATTCACATGGTTTATTACCTAACTTATATCACCTTTTCATGTATTACACATATCTCGTCACATATCTTATATTATAATTTCATATATAATAACATATACCCATTTTCATGTACTCATGCACACATAAGAATCACAAATCAAATAACATTTTAGAAGTCACTTTTTACCATAGTAACTCCGTCACTGGCTCATCGCAAGCCAATGCATGTTCGATAACATACGTACAATTAAATTTACACTCACATTGACATTTTATATATTCAAATCCACTTCTATGGTTTATTTCTTTGGATTGATCCTATCTTTGCAGTCGATTCAGAACTTGCTTGTGCTCGATATCTACACAATCATACATTCTTAAGGTAAATATCATATATCTACACCTTGTGATTTGATACTAATAACTTAAACGAATTTAATAGACTCATATTTACTTTTTCCTTTAGGGGGTATCGATACCCTCCCTAAGGTATCAGTACTCTTATTACATTCTGCAATTTTTTGCTCAAGAGGGTATCGGTACACATACGTAGGGTACCATACACTCTGCTCAAAACATACTTTTTCACCTGAAAATTCATCATTTTCAACTTAAATCTTCATATTTCTTTCCCTTTTCTGTTCTTAACTCAAGTACATATACTTAAACTAATTTCTACTCATTCAATATATCCTTAACCTCAAAATTTTATCTTTCATATGGAAATCAATAATCATGCCAAATTTCAGGATACTCTAAATCCAATTCTATCACTTCATATCTCTTAATTAAGTTGCTGACAAGTCAAATTTAGTTTCAAATACAACTTATCAACTCTTTTCCAAAAATTCACTTAAAAACCCATTATCTTAAATCTTTCATAACTTCTTCTTCTTTTGATTTTAAGACAACTTAAGCTTTTCTTAAGCTTAAGTATCACTTAAGGATCAAAACTCATACTTAAAATTAACAAATAATCAACTAATTAGAAAACTTACCTTTGCTTGGTGCTTCACGTTGGAGAAGAAGAAAAGAAGAAGAAGAAGAAGAGAGTTTTCCAGCTACTTCTCTTCCCCCTACATGTTTCTCTTCTATTGAAGGGGAAAAATATCTTTCATGTCAAATGACTAATTTGTCTTTTACTTCATTTGATAATTACTATAAACTTTCAGGAAATATTTCCAAATAAATCATTGAACTATTCAACTATTCTACTTTAATCACCAAATTCTAAAATTTTACAATTTAGTCACTAACCCGGTATTGAGGATGTTACATGTATTATGAATTTTCTTAGATTATTAACAATACACCTTACAAACCTAACTTTTCAATCTATATTAACTGTTCAAGAGGCCTCAAAGTGACCGCAAGATCTCCGTCAAGGTTTTTTTTAATCTTCTTTCTTATAGGCTTTGCATTGTGTTTAATCTATATTTTTCGGATTTCTTACTTCAATTTTGTGATTTAGGACTTGTTACTAAGGGCAGGTCTATGATAATGTTAACTTCGAAATACATTTCTAATTCAAAAGCTGAGTTAATATTTTATGTACGCCTTAAGTTGATTATCATGTAAAGGTTTTTTAATTGTAATAATCGATAACTGGACTGATACTGGACTTGGAATCATTTGAGAGCTTTAATTCTGTTCATTCATATTCGTTGAACGAGAGAATGGGGGATTAGTCAAATGATATTTATAAATCGGTGTCGCACATCTTCTAGATGTAGGTTTCCAGTTTTTCATTCTCTATGGCCCTAGTTTCATACAATGTTTTGTTTGTTGGTTCATGTTTCTTGGTATTTTATTTATCTCCCCTGTGAAAAAAAGTTGCAAAAACCAGAAAGTGAAACCTAACTAGAATTACATGGTGAAAGATGCTCAAATGGCTGAAATCATTTTGTCTAATGTTGTACAACATATCATGTGTCATTGCCAGTTGTTGTCTCGATTATCGATTTGATAAATAAAAAGGTTTGTGTTTTGGCAGGAAAACTGGAGAAGGCCCAAGGGTATTGACTCCCGTGTTAGAAGGAAGTTCAAAGGATGCACTCTAATGCCGAATATCGGTTATGGCTCAGACAAGAAGACTCGCCACTATCTTCCCAATGGGTTTAAGAAGTTTGTTGTGCATAATGTCCAAGAGCTTGAGCTTCTCATGATGCACAACAGGTATGGCGTGCATAATTTATTCTCTCTTACTACCACATATTGTAGATCAACATTTTCCTGCTTGTTTCTGATTGTTGATGCGTTATCAGGCCATACTGTGCTGAGATAGCCCATGACGTTTCAACGAAGAAGAGGAAGGAAATAGTCGAGCGCGCCGCACAGCTGGATGTTGTTGTGACCAACAAATTGGCTAGGTTGCGCAGCCAAGAGGACGAGTGAATGACTGATCCATCTTGAATGTTGGTTTTGCTTTTCATTACCATATTTGATCGTTTAGTGAGTTGAGGATATTCTCAAACGGTTTGTTTCTCTTGAATTGCATGTTTTTATTTAACGATGAAAACACCCACCACCCAATAAGAAGGTAGGGTATAGTTAGAACTACAAACCCGTTCGGAGCACGTGCTTAGTTATGCATGCAGAAATTATGTCTTAAACAGATAAAAGAAGATTGATTTGAGGGTGTCTTCTTCTTATTTCTTTTTTATTTTTATTTAGTCAGCGGCAACATCAATCTTAATAGTGGTTGTCGACCGTCGGAGATTATTAGTTATCTTGTTTTTTTATATTATCTCCTTTATTTTCTTGTTTTCTCGAGTTTTTAATTTTGAATAAGAATCTCTGTCTTTGTTACACGTTTTTTTCTGCTTTTGTGACATGCGTTTTCTCTGCTCTTGTGGCACGATCCTTATGGTTTTTGGAATGTTTTCGCATACCTTTGCTGTCATTTTGGTTCTCGCAAAAAAACAATCGCTACATTTATTTTCTGATTAGTTTATCTTTAGTCAAATACCTTCTTTTGATAAAAGGTTTTTTATCGATGTAAGAAATTGTGTAGTGAAGCAGCCTGTCATATTGTTTGGTTCACTCTCCACTCCTTTTTCACTATGTAAAGTGTCTCATTCGACAGAGACAAGAAATTTTATAAAAGTTTTTAGGTTTTGATCATTTTGGTTCTCGCAAAAAAGCAATCGCTACATTTATTTTCTGATTAGTTTATCTTTAGTCAAATACCTTCTTTTGATAAAAGGTTTTTTATCGATGTAATGAAAATTGTGTAGTGAAGCAGCCTGTCATATTGTTTGGTTCACTCTCCACTCCTTTTTCACTATGTAAAGTGTCTCATTCGACAGAGACAAAGAAATTTTATAAAAGTTTTTAGGTTTTGATTTAGTCTTCATTCTTAATGGAAAGTTTTATTTTTCTTCATATGCTTAGGTTTAATATTTTATTTCTGTATGAGTGTTTTTGTGATTATTATCTCTAATTTTTTCTCTATATTTTAATATGTAAAATAACAGTAACATTTATTTTTCAAATTGCAAGGCGTCAGCCAATAGAAGTATAGAACTAGGGATGTCAAACGGGTACAGTTTCGTGGATTCCGCACCGTATCCGCTCCAATTGGAGCGGGGATGGGTATAATTTTAGCGGGTAGTGGGCGGGTGTGGATTTATAAAGTGGTACCCGTCGTGGGTGGTGGGTGGGTAATGGGTTTGAGACATTACCCGCCCCGCATCCGCCCGCCCCGCATCTGCCCGCCCCACATCCGCCCGCCTAACTAAATATCTATTAAATTTTGGACCATAATGAATTTAGGTGTAATTTTAGAGACTAATTTATAAATTTTAATATTGTATAATATAAACATATAATTTAACCAAATATTAAGGATATTTAGTCTTTAATCTGGTCTTTAATTAGGGAAATATTCGGCTCTTTGATTAAACCCATAATCCCACTAACCACGTCACTTTCATGTTCTTTAGCCCATGCTGCCCATACAAACACAAATTAGTCGTACTATAAGCATTAACATCAAAAGCAGCAGTTTCCATGTTCTTTAGCCCCTCAAAACCCATATTAGGCGCACTATGAGCATTAACATCGAAAGCAACTCAACAATCCAGCTCTGCGACTACATGCTCCCTACAATCTGTCTCCATAACATTCGTAGAACCACTCCTCTGACAAATTGAAGCATGCGCTGCTACCCTATCACGAATTGTCTGGGAACCAACTCTAACATCCTATTAGTTTGCTGTCAGGCGGGTCTAGATGGGTATGTCGCTAGTGGGTAGTGGGTATGGGGATGGATTTGAAAATGTACCCGCATGGGTGGGTATGGATTTAAAAATTTGTACCCATCATGAGTGGTGGGCGATGGTAGATTAAAAAATATTAGGTGGGTATAGGATGGAGATGGAGTATCCGCACCCGAACCGCCCGTTTGCCATCCCAATATAGAACAGAGCATAGTCCCAGGATTGGCGCGAAAATACTGATTCACACGTTTTTTCAATACTTTAGAAAAATCCCTCGACTATCATTTTATTTCATTTTTAAATAATATAATATGATTTACCCATCAGATTTCTTACTTTATTTTATTTATTCAACCGATTAAATCGAAGTAACCAATAGCGTGACATCAGTAACGACGTCATACGAACAGAATAAACCATTAACGTGACTTCAGTAGTGACGTCACACAAACAGAGTATACGAAAAATATGCATGTATAATTCGATTGATGTTTCTTAGTAATCTATATTATAATTAAAAGAAACAACAAATAATAATGATTACTGTTGTAAGAGAAGTTAGAAAACAGAGAATTGATTATCTTCGGGACGATGGAATTTGCATTCATTGTTGTTTAAATTCCCTGAATCATTCTCACCGTGTCTGCCTTCATTGTTCTTCTCACCGCCGTCTGCGAACACCTCTTGAACGAATGACTCGACATTGAATGGATCCGCAGGATCAGATGCCAATCGATTCCCTTAAAATAATCGTGCTCCTTGATTCCGTCCACCGTGATCCTTCGCTTTGGATCTTTCTCTAATAATTTTCTTATCAAGTGCCTCAACGACGTCCGTTCGCCGACGAGTTCCGGCGGTTTCGTTAAAATCTGGTGAAAAGTTCCCTTCCTGTTCGATCCCTTAAACGGCGTCGTTCCATACAGCATTTCGTGGAGGACGATCCCCAGTGACCACCAATCAACGGCAAAATCGTGACCTTTACCTGATACGATTTCTGGCGCCACGTACTCCTCTGTTCCGACGAATGAGTTTGATTTCTCTGCCGAGTCTGACTCGGTACAATCCGGATTGACGCTTGCTGGAGATTCCGCGTCGTCCGGAGATATTCCCGAGTTACAGCACCTAATAAACGGAAATAGCCGCTTTTTCTTGACCGAGTCAGGTGGGCTTGAATAGACCGAGTTGAGAGGCATTGATTTGTCGGGTGATCTTGGAGAGAGTTTCGTGGAAAGATCGAAATCTACAAGCATGATATGTCCATTTTCTTGAATCATGATATTTTCAGGCTTCAAATCTCGATAAACAATGCCTAAATTATGAAGATACTCCAAAGCCAGTACCAATTCCGCTGCATAAAATCTAAAAGAAAAAATCATATTAAATTTCAAACAAAGAAATAGACTGAAAATATAGCCTTAGCAGTAAATTTTGTTCACCTAATCATATCGTCGGAGAACATATTCTCGGTCTGTTTCTTCCTCAAAGAATGAAGATCACGGCCGGGACAATAATCAATGGCGTAACCGACGACTTTATCGGTAGCCAAAACTCCTCGCAGCCGTGGTAAAAGCTGGTGATCAACCATCCCCAATGCTTCCTGTTCAAAACTAACTCTTCTATACTCGTTCCCTACGTTTCCATTACTATTCTTCACTGCTTTACCATTCTTCTTCTCGATCGAATCTCGAGATATCACTTTCAAAGCTAAAATCTCATCCTTCACGTTATCTCTGGCTAGAAACACCACTCCTTTGGCTCCTCGTCCGAGAGCCGTGACGATTTCCAAGCTATCTAAATCAAAGGTCGTTATCGAATGCTGTGGAGATCGGTTGAGTTGTTTTTGATCGTCGATCATGGCGGAGGCTGACCGATGACTAGAAAACCGGTCGGTTTTTATTGTTTGTTTCCCGGTGCTTTGGGGGACGGTGCTTGGTGGCTACGATTTATAAGCGAGGAATAGTTTCAATTTTGTTTTCTTCGATTAAATAAAATTTCTTGCTGAGGACGTTTTCAAGATTCAAAGGGGTGCGTTTATGTGAGACCGGATTTGGCCACATGAGCAATTTCGGCGGATTATAGCTGTTTTTCTAGGCGTTAAATTAATATTTTGTAAAAATTATTAGAAAAATATAAGGGTGATTTAAAATAGATAACTACTCATTTAATACTTAAATAATCAATTTCGTTATATTTTAGTACCTAAACTTTCATTTTTTTCCCCAAAAGCATATCTAATATTTAGTTTTTATTTCATTTTAGTATCTTGTTAAAAACTTAACGTTGGGTTTTGAAAAGAATTGAAAGTTTGGGTATTTGAGCATATCAGAACCAATAATTTAGGTACTAATTTTATCAAAAATAATTTAGGTACTAAACATTTTAAATCTTTATCGAATAAATACTAAAATGAAACAAAAATTAAATCTTAGGTATGATTTTGAAAAAAAAAATAAAAATTTAAATACTAAAATGGACAAAAACTTATACTTTAGGTTTAGGTACTAAATGCACAATTTACCCTAAAAATATCAGCTGCGGCGGTGCTTCTAGAAAAAGGTGGGGCTGCTTCTGCCGCGAGTGGCGGTGAGTGGTTTTGGGTAATAAAGTAACGCAGCTATTACGGTGTTGGCGTGTTGCCCTGAAATCCTGGATTGGTCATAAAGTTTTCCATTTTTTACGCTTATCTCTTGTGATTTCAAGGAAGTTCCATATCCAAGGAGGAAAAATGAGTTGCCGTCGTTTTTTGGGAGGGGAGAAATAAAGAAAAATACAAGTACAATTTGTAAAATTATAAAATTCTTAAAATTATAATTCTACGCAATAATTATATTATATTTATGATTCACATCAAATCTTATTCGTGGTCTACCTATCATGTCATTATATGAATAAATATCATACTTTATATATATATATATATGAGACCGACGCTAAGAATCATTATAAGATCTCTCGATCAAGATTAAGAGGGAGATTAAATCTTCGTTTCCAATTATTCCTCTTTTATATCCTTACGGGAACAAAAAAATCTTACATCAACTAACGATCACTTAATCACCCACTATAATTCTCTATTCAATTAAAAGAAATAAAATCATCTACAACTATCGTGACACGTTTATTTCTATCGATAACAATCTGTTCATTTCGGCTTCTTAATTTGATCCGATAAGTGTAAACGAAATTGTTCTACTTTTTATAAACATTTTAGACACAGAAGAATCATTCAAATGCAGGCCGAATAATATGTGGTTGGGCCTATGTTGTCATTAGGTCTAAGTCGACTGAATTTGGGAGCCGCATTCAACAATGGCAGTGCCCTCCGTTAGAGCTTAAGTTTGGGCTCTCCAAGGATTGTTTAAGTTGGCTTAGAGTTGGGCTTTAAAGCCAGAAAAGCAACATTCTAATTTCCAACCATTTTCTTAAATATTTTTTTATCGATATAAAATAATATATATTTATAATCCTTTTTTCGTCATTGACAACACATATATGTCCTACGTATTCAATTGCTTGATATACAGTGTCGTGGATGGGGCGGTGCGAGATGGACTTATTGCGGCGTTTTTTAAAACAACGCCACTATAGATGGACTTATTGCGGCGTTTTTAAAAAAACGTCATTACTGTTACGACTTTTATTGAAAAACCGCTACTATAGATGGACCTATTGCGGCGTTTGTCAAAAAACCACCACTATTGTTGCCCCGAAATCGAATATATCTAGAAAATAGAGGCCCCTTTTAAGGATTTGTACATGTCCCCGATAACCTAGCCACGACCCTGTTGATATATATGAGTTTTATTATAGGTAGACTGTCTTAGGTATATCAATAATGTAACTTAACAAACTAGAGGGATTAAATGGACACTACATGGTGTAAATAACATACATTAGAATGGATTGGAATTTGCATTTATGTGGGGATGGGAGAGAAGATCCCATAAGCCATTCTAATTCACTCGTTTTCTTATTAAAATAGTAGGTCACCTCAATGGGCTGTTACATGATTTTGGTTGTTACAATTATGAGGATATTTATATTCTCCAATAAATTCCAACATCAATACACTATCATTCGTGAGTAGTTATGATGTACGACAACTTTAATATTAAGTTAAGAAAATATTTTACCATAAATATTAATATTTGTTTATCATTTTTGATAAAACGTTATCTAAAATATTATTTTTTTATCAAAAATATTAATTTCGCTACCTAAATTTTTGTAAAAAAAATAACATTTTAAGTAACGTTTTACCGGAAATGTTAAACATTTTAGGTAACGTCCAATATTAACATTTCCGGTAGAAAAACTAATGTTTTAGTTCAATTTACCGAAAATGTTAAAAAATTATTAATATTTCTGATAACATCTTTCCTTAACCGTATATTAATACTGTCATACCTGAAACATCCACATCTTTCATATTAAGTTCCAAAACGTAAAGAAAAGAGGCACATGTACCGATTATATTGTCCACTTTTATCTTATCACATCAATTCCAATAAACCCTTATATATATATATATAAACTATAATTTAAATATTATTACAAGCAAAACAATTATTTCATCGTTAAAATTGAAACGTATCTAAAACGAACTAGTATAATAACAATTTTAATTTTGAAAATTTATATATTTTCTTATCTATTTGGTTTCAATTTGAAATAGTTTAATAAAATTTAATCTTTTCTAATTATATTATCAAGCAAAGTTAGTCCAACAGATCAAAACATCGTTGAATAATTATATTTTACCATAAAATTATAATAAATTGTTTTTAAATTATTGTTATACCAAAAAAATAAAATAAAATTTCTTAAAAAGAATAGTTAATTCATACAATTTTTAAATATAAAATATTAAATCTAATAAGTTATTTTAAATTAGGATCAAATTTAGAATATAAAATTTTTGAAAATAAGTCAATCAATAGATCGAATATTTGGTGATTACAAAAAAATAACTAAATTATAATATTTAGAAAAAAGTTACAAACCGAGCGATATTAGTGGTAAATTTTTTATTATTATTATTTTAGATCTTAAGTTCGAGCATCAGGAATATCAGAGGTGTGAACGTTTAATGTTAAACGATTAAGAGTTATCTTTGGATGAAATTAATATATTTTATTAGTATATATGACAATAGGTCACAAATCGGCCCATGTGGAGACTACAGGCTGTTATGGCAGCGGGCAGACAAAGCATGCGCGTTCCACTTACGCAACGTTACGAGCTATCTCACATGGTAGACCCATTTTGGTGTGTTTCAATTTGTTTGATTTGGCATATACAACATTAACGACCTTTCTATACTTCCACCATTACCATGCTTTATGAAATGAACTCGAGGCACGGTCTGGGTCTGGTTCGGTTCGGGTCGTATAATCACTTTTAGGCCGCCATCGTAAACCCGGTTTTAACAGAACTCGATCTTCAAACATTCGAATAAGGTTAAGGAGACTACATGTAGATGAGGAAATGAAGCATTACCATTGCTTTAGTAGGTGACTTAGGGCAGTTACTGTTGGCATTGAAGACTTTGGGGATGGACCACAACACCAGAAATCACCAAACCATTCAATAGGGCCCATTCTTCCCGTTCCTTATTTACGACTCCTTACTTTTGTCATCTATGAATCATCCACGGTCCGATACAAAAATCGGGTCTATCCTCGTTCGGAGGAGGACGAGTGATGGAGCCGGTTGTCTACGTCGTACGGTGAATAGGATGTGGACGAAACTAAAGACGATGCCTGCAGAAGTTAGAAGGTCAAATCTTTCAAGCATAAATCCAAGAATGAAGGATGGAGAACAACTAGGAAAAGAGTTTAAAAAAATTACAATGGCAAGTAAATTTCAAGAAGATGATGAAAAAGGGCATGTGAACTGTGCATGAATTATTGGCATCCAAAGAAAATAAAAGAGAATCTAATGCATGACTGGTATTCGAATAAGAGCATGTGTGGGTGCAAAGGAAAACAAGAGGGCCGATGTTCTGTTACCTGTAAAAACCGAACACAGAACATCTTATAAACATAAGCTCGCTCGCGCAAGGGGGTTTATTAATGGCGGCTATAGAGGCCCATATCTCCACTATTATTAGAAGTTTAAAAGCTTGGGCCAAAATCCGAACCACTTAAAATTGGGAAAAGATCGATCAAACATTAAAATTGAAGATCAAAACAAAGCAGATAACGTTGAGAGGGTTTGACTTTGATAGCACTGTGGAAGATGGCCAGTCAGCCATACCACGAAACCTATTTATTGGAGTCGCCACAAGAAGCAATACTCATACAGGGATAAATCGAGAAGACGGGGGAGAGTAATCGTTCCTTAAAAATAAAAAATTATTACATTTTTTTGAAATTTTTTTATTAAAAATATTTTTAATTTCTGAAATTTTATAAGTTTAAATTTACCCTAACATAAAATTTTACGTCGATTCCGATCGTATGAACCTTTTGAAATAAACATTGGGGGCGGTGATTACGGGTTTCTTTCTTACTTATTGTATAAACCATAAAGTGATTGTCATAAATTAGAGGTTACAAGGGTTGGCTAAAACCTCCACTGAATTTGATGCTTTCCTTTCAATCAAAAAAGGGTAAACTAAAAAAATAGTCATCAAACTTTTAGAGTGTTTGCATTTTGGCCATAGAACTTTTAGTTCATTTTTGTTGTGATCGTTATCATCGGTTGGCATTAAGAGATGTTGACGTGGCACGTTAAAGACACCTTTCCGACAAAAATTCTAAAGTCTGGAACTGAAAAATCTCATGCTTATTAACTTGACACAATATTAGTTGCAACTCCATTTGTTGTTGTAATAATTGGATTATTTATTCTATTTCTGCTTAGTATTTCTTCACTAAACCTATCATCCTTTTCTACTCTTCTATTTAAACAACCGAACTATCATATTTTTGATCCCACTAAACTTCCATTTCAACTCAAAGTTCACCTTTGGGAAAACAAGAAGCCAAAGTTGAAATATCAAACTTTTCAGCACTTTTTGTTGTCGAAATCCCCCATTTCCCTGGATTTCCACATTCGACCAATGAACCATCTACAATGGACAGCCAGTTTCTCCTGGATGCAGTAATCCCCCCACCCTCACCGCCATTGGTCTTTGAACCAATCTCAGCTTGGTACTCCCTCTCTTCTGCCATGGAAATTTCGCAAGATTGTTTCCTCGCTCCTTACCGGGAAACATCAACTGATTACGGTTTACAGTTTGACTCGGCACTGAGTTCAATGGCGTCTTCTCCCGCAGCATCAAATTCCCATATCTCGAGATCGATTTCTCCATCACTGGATATGTCGGAGCTGACCAGTTTTCACGAGGGTTCCACCGTCTCCGTGCTGATTCCAGATGCTGATCCTGGTTTGATAGCTTCGAATTCAAGGAAAAGGAAGGCGGTAACCGAAGCCAGAACGGAGGAAACTCCGGCAACCCAGAAAAGATGCATGTCTACAGAAAGCGACGAGAACAATATCAAGAAGCATCCTGAAGCTCCAAAAGACTATATTCATGTTAGAGCGAGAAGGGGAGAAGCCACTGACAGCAATAGTTTAGCTGAAAGAGTAAGCATATGTATTCACTGGGTTTTTCGTTGCATTAACAACGGCTCTCTATATTCTGTATTTCTCACTTAATAAGGTCCGCAGAGAGAAAATCAGTGTGAGAATGAAGATTCTGCAAAATCTGGTCCCTGGTTGCAGTAAGGTAATTTCTAAAAGCCCTTGTCGTAGTCATCGGTTATGAAACTTATTTTTATCATGTTTCCGATTATTATTTGACAATAATCAACAAAACATCTTTACAAATGGTCCTCTAAAGATAACAACCCTACCTTAATCAACGATGGGTTTTGCTTTCAAATTGCAGATCATCGGAAAATCACTGGTGCTGGATTCTTTAGTGATGAACATTGTGGTGATTAAGGATTCTTTAGGAACACGATTGATTTATGATAATCTCTTTTTGCGGACAGTTCCTCTCGATGAAACGAGCTTCAGTGAGCGCCGGGATGGATTTTAACAACGTAAGTCGAAGCTCTTATATTTCATTTTCTCTTGAGAATAATGTTTTAAGATCATTGGAATTCATTGTTTTTTCTGGTTTCATCTGCAGATTTTTCGATCAAGCAACACTTTGGGATAGATCCTCGGCATCGGTCTTCTCTGGGCAGCCAAACCCTGAACTGCATGGCAATGTTTGTAATGGGACAACGGTCCTGGTTTGAAGACTTTGTTTCATGCTGATTGTAATTTCAAAGGACGTTACAACCTGTTGATCGTTGCGTCTATTTAATCGTGAAGATTTTACATATTGCTGTTGAGGAATTAATGATTTAAAATAGTAGATTCCAAAGTCTAATAATTAAACTAAAATTTTATAGTTTAATTATTAAAATAAAAATATGTTGAAAATTAAGTAAAACTAAGGTTAAATATACTATTATCCCAATTTTGTAAATCGGCATGTAATAACAGCTAGCGACAAATAAAAACCAAATCCGATTTAGCAATTTATAACCTTTTTATGGGAAAGAGACCAAAAAAGAAATTTACGCATAATTGACCCAAAAAAGTAAGTTTCTGCAACAAAGTATCATGATGAAAATGGTTTAGCTTATTAAAAAGGAAAGCACAATATGTTTTCTAAATCCCAGATAGAAACCCTAATGAGGTTTTACCATCACTAGCATTTTTAAAATGAAGACAAACGTATCTAAAGATAAAGCTGATCTAACCGGAGACTATTATCAATTATTATTTATAGCTCATCTTCACTTGCGTTTGTATCTTCTCCGCTTGATGGCTTCCCATTCACTGCAACAAGCTCTGTTTCAAATATCAGTGTTGCTCCGCCTGTAAATTTGGCAAAACCACAACATTTCAATTATGACCCTTCTTTAAGGAAACCGTTAGTTTACTAAATGTCAATACTTGTTATTGACATAGCACATTCACCACATGTGATAAAAAACTGATTTGCAAGTTCGACGCGTGCTTAATTACTGGTGCGACATATACCATGCATGCTTAATTATTGGTGTAGCAAGTAGCATATGCTACGTGTATTTAAGTGTTGGCGTGGCATATGCCACGGTTTTCATCCAGAAACCAAAATAAAACGGTTAAAATGCTTTAAAAAGAAACCAAAGTGATTATTCTAAAGCAAATTTTGGTATTACGCCATGATTTTTTAAGGCAATTTCGTATTGCTGTTTTGCTTAATAGCATCAGTCATCCGATTAGATAGGCAGTGGACAGTTGACTATCATTAGCAACTTAAGGCATTTAAGTAGTTCCCATTAAAATTAAAAGAACAACAGCCGCACAGGAATTACCAGGGATTTTAGGTGGTGAACCATGTTCACCATAACCAAGCTTTGCAGGTATTTTCAACTTCCGTTTTTCACCCACGCACATCCCCAGTAGCCCTTGGTCCCATCCTGCAAACCAAAAATCAATCAACTACATGCATATAACAACCAACAATCTGGCCATAAAAGTGAACAAGTCATCGTCTGGATCTTAACAGAAGGATGTGAGTGGTTGCTAAGGGGAACAAACCTTTGATTACTTGACCACTACCAAGCTCAAACTCAATCGGGTCACCCCTTTCGAAACTCGAATCAAAAACAGTTCCATCAGTGAGTTTCCCCTGCAAAAGGGGATGACAATATATATAAACCAAGAGTCTTAGTAAACAGTTAATTGTAAGTTTGTAACCATAAAAGTTTTAATGGCACTATGTTCATAACCAAATATAAACAAATGACTTAAAAATTGACAAAAAAAAACCCAGCAAAATCAAACGACACATCCATTAGTGAGAATACATAATGCCCACAAAAGTATACAAGTCGATGGACCGTCGTTCTGAAAACTAAATAGAAAATTACTAAACCCAACACCTATTTTCAAAATCCAACAAAAGGAACAAGCTCGAGATGTTGAAACCAGTTGACATATAGCAACCTCAAGAATGTATAGTTCATTTGTTACTATGAAATTCAAAAATCCAAAAGAATGATCTAATGCATTTCTCAAATTTCAGGGGGGGAAATCCGAAAATCAAATATTCATCACTTCGTTGAGTGTCAAGCAATTTTAATACAAAAAGTAAACATCCAGCCGAATCAAACATACCCGATAGTGTACTTTGACTCTATCACCTTTGTGAGCTTGAAATTCACATGATTTGGGCTTATGCTGTGAAAAAAGTACAAAAGAAAAAGAGATAATGAGATAGCAAGTAACAAAGCAACGGGAATGAAAAAATGAAACAATTTATGATCATATGAACAAACAAACATGAAAGGCAATGCTAGGAATTAACAATACAGTTATCAAATTATAAGGTAACAGCCTAAGAGTTTAAAAATCTTCATTTTTTTTGTGATTTCACAAACAAAGTAACAGACTCATGCTCACAGAGAAGCAGCAATGAAAGACAATGCTAGTAATGAAGATTGACTTTGTATAATATAATGAAAAATGAAAATTAACGACACGATCATAAATTTCTTCACATCACAACAGAAAATTAAAGCTAATGAGAGACACGTTTTACAACTTTCTATTTACCCCAGATTAAATCACTAAATAAAGCATTTGCACAAATCTGTTCAAACATATTTAAAGACATACCTTGACTCCGATCTGTAGCTCGGTCACATCGCCTGACTTCTTGGCATTCACTGAATAATTGAATCGAATAATGAAGAAGCCGATAATCAAACGTCAGGAACATAAATAGATTAAATCGAAACACAAAAGAAGTTCCAAAAATTGATCAGATCTGGAAACAACGATACGGTATGTATAAATAATTAGCTAGATTTTGATTTGAAAACTCACCAAATGTGAAAATTATCGCCAGAAGAAGCAGAATCGGAGCAACCTTCAACGCGCTGCCGAACCTCATTTCCAATATAGTTTTTTCTTCGCTCCGCAGCTCTCTTCGGACTGTAGAATTTTTATGTTCGGATTTTTATTAACAGACCTCCGAAAACGACGAGAGATGGGCTGAAATGGTCTTTCTTCTTGGACTCCATTCAAGGCCTTGAAGTTTGGTTAGGGCCGTTTCAGATGTCAATTTGCAAGTTCGTAATGGTCTAATTCTGATTTTAGTCCCTATACAATGATGAGCATTTAGATTTAATCTCTAAACTTTAATAAGTCCGAACCAAATTGATAATAAGACTAGTTTTTTCTACTGAAGTGTTGGCTTAATTATATATATATATATATATATTTCTCTCACATGTAAATTTATCATTAATTGAAAATTTTAAATGATCATAAGTTCAAAGCAATGGTGAATAGTGTTATCAAATTAAACTTGTAATATTATAGATGGACAATATTATACCAAACTAAATCATGAGGGATTAAATTCCATAATTCAACTTGAAAAGTCGATTTTTTTCAATTTCGAGTTATTCATGTTATTCGAGTTATCCAAGTCAACTAGAATTATCAATTCGGTTTTCGAATTCGAGTCGAACTGAAATTTTAAAATTTCGAGTTACTCAAAAAACCAAAAATTTGAACAAATATTTGACGATTTTATTATTTAGTCATTGGTTTCCTTATTCCTTCAATTCCTCCTTCATTTTAAGTCAAATATTTTTACCAAAATTGAACACGTGCTCCTAAACCATCATAGAATACATGTGTACTTTCAATTCCTATTTTTGATAGCAATTTTTTATTTTTCAATTTAGTCCCTCAAAATTTTTTATATTTTCTTTATTTCTCCAATTCATCTTTATTTGAAGTTCGTTTTTACTAAATTTGAACCAAATGTTCATATACTACAATAGAATACCTACGTAACTTCAATTCTTACTTCTTCTTTTTTCAAAAAATGTACTCTCTTTTTATTCAGTCCCTTAACTTTGTATTTTACTCACTTTGGTCATTTGACTACAATTTTTTGCAAATTCTTTCTTCCCACTAATTCCTTGACTTCTTTATACTCTCATCAATATTTTACCCTCAAAATAATTTCTTTAAAATATAACATCATGAATATATTTCATAATTTTAAACTGTATTTGATATATTAAATAACATTATATGTGAAAAGAATAATATATATATATTATGGTCAGAGAGAGTAAAAAAATTAGAACAAACCATTGCCATAATACTCTAAATAATTATAATAAAACTAGTATAGAAACTCGAATAACTCAACTCGATTCAAAAAAAAATTTCAAGTTAAGTTCGAGTTGTAAAATACGACTCGCCAACTTGAATAACTCGAAGTTTTTTGACTCGACTCAACTCGATTCGATCGAATGTCCTTCTATAGTAAATAGTGTGGGTACCCTAACCTATATACATTAACTTGACTCTTAAATCAAATCCAAACAACGACAATTGTGAATAATAGTGTTAAATTTTATTGTTAAAACATTGGCACTTGTAATAATATTATTAAATACTAATACTGTATTAATGATATCTTAAATGTTGTAATATATATTTGTGAAATTTTAAAAGAATCTTTAAAAATGACTATACGATGGAAACTATTGTAAATTTAGTGATCCAAACATTGATTAAATCATTATTATTTTTGAAGAAAATAAATAATTTCCGTAAAACGTTTTTTAAATTGTTTTTAAGTGAAACAAATGCAATGTTAAATTTATTTAAAGTGTGAAGCTTAAATTTTATTAAAATACATGATTAACGATATATTTTGACATTTTTAATTTGTGGCCACACGTTAAAAGCATATGAGTGAAACCCTTTCATAGGCCATTGTCTGTCTGGTTTTTTATGACATTTTTAATTTAACTGAAAATGTTAGAAAAAAAATTAAGATTTTAAATCGGTTCAATAAAAAAATATTATACTTTTTATTATATTTTTAATTCATTTTATGTAGTTTCTTAACTTTAAATTAGATTATTGTATAACAAAATTTAATGTTAGGCAATGTAATAGACATGCACTTGACCTCAGTTCATCTGTTTCGAAGTTTAATTCAAACAACTATAACGTACTTTTTTGTAGTACAAATTTTCTGGAATCAACTTTGGAAGCGGTTTTGATTGTCGTGATGTTCTCTACCTTCACAACGTGTCCTCCATGCGTCTCTACCGTCAAACTTTCAAACTTCGGTCCACACTGGGTCCAATCGATCCCACGTTTCGCCGCATGCCTCATCCCCCCGTCCCTTAACCCCTTCGCCGTCGCCACGTAATCTCAACCCTATCCAAACGCATCGCACCGCGTGCACCCCTCAAAATGCAACTTGACCCTGAATAATCTGGTCCAGCTGTGACACCACGAACTCCATCCACGCGTCGCGGTCGCAATACCCAACAAGGGGCCATACCCCTCACGACATCGTAAACGTTTCGTATCTCAGAATCCGCCGCGTTGCCCCGATATTGAAATAATTGAATGTTTGAATAGGACGGTCGAGATCGCGCGGACATCCAGATCTGCGACAGCGTGTATAATGGGCAATGGCAGAAATATTCAGAAAGTACCTACGTACCATTGCTGTTCCTGAATCATCACCAGATCTTGAAGCATGCATTTATGCCACGCGTCGTTCTCTCAATATCCTTCCTCAGTTCCAAATTTTGTTTTCTTGGCGATTTGCACAAAATTAAAAAAAAAAAGATACCCATAAATAAGTTGCAGGGGCGTGGCTGAGGTGCAGGATGCAGGGCCCAAAAAATAAGTATTGAAATTGAGTTATTTGTTGTTATTAAGAAGTATAAAAATAGGAGTTTTAAAATTGAATATATCTAGAAAATAAGAGTATTTTATAAGAATTTGCATAAGTCCCCCGATAAATTAGCCGAAATCGAATATATCTAGAAAATATATCTAGAAAATATAGATTTTTTTATAAGAATTTACACAGAACCTCCGACAACCTAGTCACGACCCTAAATTAAGTTGAATGTTAAGAAACATTTATCTGTACATATATATTTACAAATTAAATTTATGTATTTAAAATTAAGGATGTAAAAGAATATAGAGTTTGGTAAAATGTTTGTGGATTATTTGTATAATGTTCGTTTACTAAGCTAAACAAAAAATTATGTAAAAATTATGTTCATTTAATAAACGAACGAACATAAACAGAGGTATGTTTAGTTTGTTCATGTTCAAGAATAAGCTCGTTTATTTTTTTATATTTTGAATATTAAGGTACATACTAAATTGAATATATGATAAAATTTAGAGTTTAAACTATGAATTCTAAAAAGTTTAATCACTAGTCATGTAATTTTACCATTTTCCCTATTATAACACACACACAAAATTTGTCTCTCTTTTTCTTTATAAATAAACATATTATTAAACGTTAAATAATTTAACAAACACCAGTACCTTTAAAAATAAATAAACGAACAGAAATATGATATTAAAAATTTAAATATATACAATCGAATATAAACACCTTAAAAAAATAAATAAATGAACACAAATATAATCTTATTTATTTAAACTCGGTTCATTTACTCCTCTAATTTAAAACCCGTTTCACGTCAAATATGAGCTAAAGTTAAAGATCGATTAAGGATTTGATTGATAGAATATCAACTCTTCAAGAATTTAACTAAAATAGTTTTAAATTCGGGTGTCATTTTAAAAATTAATCCATGGTGTGAGTGCTTCTAATGGAGTTTACCCAAAAATATTAGGAGGACTTCCAATCCCGCCACATATGTCCGAAAACACTCTTACGTGTAAACATCTCCCTTTTCAGCATCTCGACACGTGGCCTTCCGGGTCTTCCATACCATCTTCCCTGAAAATCTACATTCAAAAGAAGGAACCAAATATAAACGCAAATACCAGTACAAAAAGAGTACATTTTCATTGTTTCTTTTCATAATATTTTCGATTCTTCGTATGTAGTATTAGGTTTTAGCGAGACACGTTGTTTTTTTAGCAATTTGAAACGGAAAACAACAGGGGATAATGGGGTTGAGAGAGGATGAAATCGAGCTAGACCTGGGATTATCAATCGGAGGAAGCTTTGGAAAAGCCGAGAAACTTAAGCCCATCAAGAACGAATCAAAACCCAACGATAACTCCGTTGCAGATCTCGGAGAAAACGTTGTTTCCGATCCCCAAACGAAGCGTGTAGTTCAAGCTTCGAGGCGACAAGAAGCGAGGAAGAAGAGAGGAAATTATTGTAACTGGAACGGCGAGTTTCGGAGCCAAGAAAAAGGCGCCGTCGGAACGGAAGAAAGGGAATGCAAGAAACCCAGAGCTGAAAAGTCTTCTGGCTATGTGAATCCTAATTTGAGCGGCGAAATGAATAACCCTTTGGTGTACCCGGTACTCCCGGTCCGGTTCCCGTGCCCGTATCCGCAGCTCCAGTTCGTGCCGCTCGCCAGTGGGTTTGCGTATCCTTTCGTAAATGGGTTGCCTTGTTGGGGCGGTGTTGCTGTGAACGAGACGGGTGTTGTGCAGCCAGTGGCGGTGGCGGCGGCTCAGGATTCGGGCGTGAATGGCGGAAATGGGTATTATTCGGAACATGGTAGTAGCAGAGATGAAAGGAAGAGGAAAACAGGGTCAAACGGGTCTACCATATGTAGTTCCTCGACAGGTTCTGATCTTCAAAGATCTTCTAACCAAGGTGCGTCCTTTGCGCAAAGTGCTACGACTCACCAATCGGACTCTGCCCAAAGCATCGATAAATCCAGAAAAGGTATCGGAAAAACGCCCTCGTCGACTCCGAAGAGAGAATCCGATGTAAACAGCAAGCCTGTTTCGACAAATGAAACTGCAACCACCACCGTCACCGTCGCCACCGTCACTTTCTCTCAAGATGCCAAGGGGAACAATAAGGGAAAGCCTCCTAGGCACCGAACGCCTACTAACGGCGACGTCGTTTCCCTTCGGAGCATGCCTCGTGTATCGACGAGGGGCAATGGCCCCAATGGTAAAACAATCAATGGTTTTCTATACAGATATTCAAATTCTGGGGTCAGCATCATCTGTGTCTGCCATGGGAGTTCGTTCACCCGGCCGAGTTCGTGCAGCATGCCGGTGGTACTGATGTTTCGCATCCTCTGAGACACATTACCATGGCTCCGCTCGCTTTTTAGTTCAGGAAAACAAATGTACAGCCATGCCTAATTATTTTGCCGTTTGTTATCTCGGAGGAAGAGCCTCTTGGTTTTTTTTTTCGTGGGCAAAAAGACCACTAACAGCAGTTTAATTGATAAGAAGGTTTTAGGCCATTTTCTTGATGGGTTTTCTTTTTCTTTTTATTTGCGCACAGCTTCCTTCATGGCAGTGTTTAATCTTATAGGTTCATTTTTCATCCACTTTTCAGGTTAGGGTAATGAATTTGAAATTTAAGTTGAGAGGTTCGATTTAAATTTGAAAAATATTTCACTTAAATTTAAAAATTAATTATTATAATTTGAATTATTTAAGTCAAATTTTATTCATGGATGATATTAAGCTGACGTTTGGTTTGCATGAATCTCTCGGAATTAAAAGAAATTGGAATTTATTTTTACCACTTTTTCATGTTTAGTTCAAGTTTTCAAAGGAAATTAGAATTCTCATGGCTTCAACTTACTTTTCATCAAACGAGGGAAAGTGAATTACATCTATTCTATGATAAAATTCAATTCCCTTGTTGGAGGTAATTGAAATTTGACCATATTACTCTCATCAATCTTTTGGTAACTTATTCATATATTGAATAAAAATATTTTTTTATTATTTCGGGTTAGGTTGGGGTTTTAATTTATATATTCGGGTCGGGTGAAACTTTATTTTGATCGAGTCGGGTCGTTTTTTTAAGTGTGATATTCGGGTTGGGTCGAGTTCGGGTTTAGGGCGAAAAATACCCGACCCGAAAATATATAATTTACCTTATATATTTGAATAATTACAATAATACCCCTCTATATATAATTTTTTCAATTAAGTCACTGTTTTTATTAAATAAAAATATTTTTTTAATTATTTCAGGTCGGGTTTTTACTTCATATATTCAGGTCAGGTGAAACTTTATTTTGGTCGGGTCGGGTTGATTTTTTTAAGTGTGATATTCGGGTCGGGTTCGGGTTTAGGGTGAAAAATACCTGACCAGACCCGACCCGAAAATATATATAATTTTACCTTATATATTTATGAATAATTATAATAATACCCCTCTATATATAATTTTTTTCAATTAAGTCACTGTTTTTATTGAATAAAAATAATTTTTTTATTATTTCGGGTCGGGTTTCTACTTCATATATTCAGGTCAGGTCAGGTGAAACTTTATTTTGGTCGGACCGGGTCGATTTTTTTAAATGTGATATTCGGGTCGGGTTCGAGTTTAGGGTGAAAAATACCTAACCGACCCGACCCAAAAAATATATAATTTTACCTTATATATTTAAAAATAATTACAATAATACCCCTCTATATATAACTTTTTTTCAATTAAGTCACTATTTTTATTGAATAAAAATATTTTTTTATTATTTCGGATCGGGTCGGATTTCTAATTCATATATTCGGGTCGGGCCGGGTGAAACTTTATTTTTGTCGGGTCGGGTCGGGTAGACCAAAAACCCAACCCAACCCGACCTTTGGCCATCCCTAATTGGAATGATTTTAACTTATGATATTTATTAGCATGATTTTTATAATTTATTGAAATAAATAATCAATCAATAAAATTAAAATTTAATATTTTTTTAAATTTTTATAATATATTGCTACATGTAATTTATAAAACAAATTAAAATTAAGTAAAAAAAACAATAAGGGCAATCCTGTCATTTTACATTACTGAAATTAAATTCACCTGATATGTCTGCAAACTAAACAGAATATGAAATTGGATTCCAATTCCTTCACATATTTCAATTCCCTCAGAAACATTCCAGTGAATCAAACGCCACCTAATAGTTTTTTAAAAAGGTTCCTGAAAGAAACAATAGGGGTTGATCGAGTAATTTGATATTACTATTTAAGTAAGGTTAAATAAATAACTTGATACTGTTGATTTAGTAGTTTGATATTGTTTTAATAATTTAATATCCTTTAATAAAGGTTTTAAGTTCGACTTTATGTGTAAGAGAAATTTTTTTATTAAAAGATTTATCTATAAAAACTAGATATATGATGCATATGGATCGGATTAATTAAGATAAAGTCTTACCGGTCTTATTTTTTTTATCAGAAGCTTAATTAGACATTTACTAACAACTAAACATTTAATAATATTAAATTTTATCATACAACTAAACATTTAATAATACTAAAATTTATCATATTTACGATGCAATAGAAATATATTTTATTAATTATCATTTTAGAAACAAATTTTTAACCATTCTCAAATTGAGTTACTACTCCATTAACTCATAATATTGAACTGATATATTTTCTTTGACAATTACCAGCAAATATGACTCCATCGAATTTTTTTACTAATATAATACATATTTTAAATTTATAAATAAAAGCAAAATAGGTATATAATTAGAATTAGAATTAATAAGCACAAGAAAGGATAAGGATTTATATAAAAACGTGATAATATTAGGGCTATAAATACCCAAAAAAAGCCTGTTGCGGCTGTCTTCCCCTTTGCTCGCGCCTCTTCAAGATCCGCAAAACCCCTAGAAACCGCCAAACTTCCTCAACAAAGGGAGGCGAGAGAAAGAGCAACCAACGCAGTAGAAGAAAGATCAAGAAAAAGTACACTCTTCACTCTCACTCTTTCTCTTTGCGTTCTGAATCTAAAAGCTCAGGTAAATAACCTCATTATCAACTAATTCTCTACTTAATCCCATTTGTCTCTTTGTTTTGTAGTGTATATTTTTCTTCTGGATGCCTTTATTTATTGTTCAGATCAATTGAAAATGTTCAATCTCTAGGGTCAAGAGATGCTTTACAGGAAAACTGAAACTTTGAAGCTTAACCTTGATAAAAGTGTTCAATTCTTGAATCCGTGGAGTTGTATTCATTTTCGCCGAATATTTTTCCTGGAAGTTCTTTTATGATATATTTTCTAGTTCAAAATACGTTGTTCTTTCGGTAGGTGATTATGTTTGGATGTTTCGTGGTTATTTCTGGGGGAACCTATTAACCTCTTTTGTTTCCTTGGCTTGCTACTTAAACTTGGGGCTAGAGTTGAGTACTGGTTTTAATTGGGCCTTCGTTGATTTGCAGTTGACAAATTGTCAATGGCATCTTCAGACCAAGTCCCTTCTGGAATTGTAGCACCTACTCCCGATGTTGTACGTTTTCCCTTCCTTATTTGGATTTTTCAATAGTGCATAAAAAGCTAAGTTTTGATCTCTATTTTTTGGTGATTTTAGGTTGGGAATGCATTTGTCCATCAATACTACCTTATCTTACATCAATCTCCGGAATTGGTTCACCGATTTTACCATGATAGTAGTAAACTTGGTCGACCTGATGAAAATGGTATCTTGAGTATCACAACAACAATGCAAGTGAGTTTTTTCCATCTTCCATGCATCTGTGATTGTCTTTCAATATTCTTTACATCTTTGTTTTTGTTCTTTACTCCAATCTTTTATTTGAAAACAATGTCTCCTGCACTTCTGAGAGCTACATGTCTTTGACCTTTGTATGTTTGGATTGATATAGTTGACTTGTGGTGCTTCATTTGTGGACCAGGCCATCAATGAGAAAATACTCGCACTTGGATATGGAGAATTCACAGCAGAGATAACTAGTGTAGATGCACAGGATTCTCACAGTGGAGGAGTACTTGTTCTTGTAATTGGGTATTTAACTGGAAAGGACACACTGAAGCGGAAATTCACTCAAACTTTCTTTCTGGCTCCCCAAGACAAGGGCTATTTTGTTTTAAATGATATTTAGATACGTCGATGATGGAAAATGTGAAAGTGGGAGCCCGGATCCAGTTATTAATATGAAACTTCTCTATCTCATGAGCAAGGTAATCGGAAATCCGCAGTCTGAAACATAGAATTTTAATTATTAACTCCTATTGATGTAAATGGTTGGCTGCAGATTTTTCACCAGTTGTGGAGAATCACGTTGAGCGATTGGAAATTTTGCCAGAAGAAGCTAATGGGCAAGTGTACAATTCTTCTGTGGATGAGGATGGTTCTAATGAAGAAGAGGAAGCTCCAGTGGCTGAGGTTGTTGATGCGATTCTTGATGATTCACAGATGGTTGCTGAATCTAACTCCAAAACTGAGGAAGTGCCAAAGAAGTCCTATGCGTCTATTGTATGTATTAAGTAGCATTCTGCTGCATTTTAGGCTTCTAATATTTTACGGAATGAGTTGGTATTGATTTTGGATTTTTAGTTCCTATTTTAAGCTGATAGTTTTACTCCCATGTATTATTGCTCTGTCTGAAGGTTATGAAGGAGAACGTGATTCCTGTGTCAAAACCTACACATTCACCTGTGAAGTCTTTTTCAAAATCTCATGAGCAACCAATACCTGCTGCACCACCGAGTGCTCCAGCGACAGCATCTAATGCACAGGTTTCCGGAAACAATGTTGTAGAAAATGGTAATAATCAAGACGTGGAAGGTACACGCCATTTTCTCTTACCTGTGCAAATTTCAAATAGCTTGCTTGCAATCTATTTCTTTTCTGCTTTATTTTTACTTATTTCCTTACGCATCTATGTGCCTGTGAATCATATACTAAAGTATATTCTTTTTATCATGCACAGCCGAGGGTCCCTCTATCTACATCAAAGGTTTGCCTTTGAATGCCACACCTAGTATGCTGGAGAATGAATTTAAGAAGTTTGGACCTATTAAGAGTGGTGGTATTCAAGTTCGAAGTCAGAAGGTATATTTCAAGTGTTAAATTGTGATAAAGTGTTAAATTGTGACTTTCTATTCAATTAATATATTCCTGTATATCACTACAGGGGTTCTGTTTGGTTTCGTAGAGTTTGAAATGGCAAGTTCTGTGCAAAGTGCTTTAGAGGTATTTATCAAATTCTTATTCTATGCTGACCTATTTGTTATTTTCTGTCATTATGCATGTAGTTACATGCTTAGAGATCTGTTTTGTGACACTGAGTTGCGACAAGTTCTGCAATTCTGAACTTGCCTTTGCCCAAGCACACATACTTGTTTTGCTTCATTTTATTGGCAGGATTTCCAATTTAATCTCTCAAAAATTGCTTGAATGAAGTTATGATTGTGCCTAGATTTTAAGTGAACTTTCTGTTATTTTGTTAGAAATGCCGTTTTGTTTTAGGGGATATTAGAAATGAAGAAAAAGGTGTTAGGGTTTATAACGTTTATAGATGAATATGGTTTGGATGCTAGTTTTGTAGTGTAAAGGCATCCATGCCTTTATATTTATAAGAATTAGAAGCTTTGACGTGGAGTACCTAAGTTAAAGATACATGAAGATTTGGTAGTGAAACTCAGCTGTAGAGATCACACAGGGAATATGGGTGTATGTGGTGCCATATTATGGGGATAAGATGTTGTTACTTTGCTTAATCATTTTTAAGAAGGAATCCTAAAGCTTTTCAGTTTCTGCTAGTTCTGGTGGTAAAAAACATTTATGTAATTTAGCATCTGTCAAGTAGTTGATTTAAATAAATTTCCATTAAGATTTAAAATTGGTTACAAATTGACAAGCTTCATGGAACATTGGTGTTGGACCAAGGTAAATGTTTAGGGAAGTGGCTGCAAGAGTTTAGCAGCGAGTTGTTAGCCCTATTATCTTTTGGTGATATCTGTAGAGTTTAGCTTAAAGTATCATTTACTGTCAATGTGAAGTTGCACTGATATTTTTGCATCAGAGAAAATAGAGTTTTTGATGTTGGGTTCAATCTTTCCTGTTGGATGATTTCATTTTAACTTGATCCCTGCTTTGACTTTTGATGTTCTCCAATAGCAAAGGGAGGGGTTTATTGTTACACCTTTTTAATTTTGTCCCAGCAATAAATGATGCATTGCTTTTTTTTCTTATTTGTTTTTTTGGTGCAATGAGTCTACATCTTTATTTAGTTTCATTTTGTCACACATCTCTCAGGCTTCACCTATCAATATTGGTGCACGTAAAGCAATTGTTGAAGAAAAACGATCTACTTCTCGAGGTAAGTTGATTTTATTGTTAAGTTTTTTGTAAGTGGTTTGCTTGATTCAGTGAAGATGACTGGAGTGGTAGCTTTTTCACATGGTAAACCGATTCATGGTTATTGGAGTAAAGTAGGATTGAGCTTTGCTAATATCTGATAACCTAGATGTTTAGGTTAATGTTGAAATTGTGTTTCTATAACACAACATTTGAAATCTGCGGTTGTTGGCATGAGACTGAAGCAAATTTGTGGTATATCCAAAATCCAAATTACGTAGATATATATTTTCATGTAAGAACAAGACTCTTCTTCATATGCAGGCAACCGAGGTCGGTCTTCATCTTGTTCTGGGGCTGGATACAGGAATGAGGGAGCACGAGGGCGTGGAAACTACGGCGGTGGAAGGGGATATGGACGGGGAGAGTTTGGAAACAGGAGCAACAACCGAGGATATTTCAGCCGAGGAGGTGATGTATTTCCGAGGGGTGAGCACATGGGAAGTAGTAATGGTGGGCTGGGCTAATGTAGCACCACCCCCTGCTGCCCCTGCTTGAAGGAATTAATTCCGGATTGTCTGTGGAATGGTAGAAGATTTTAACTTTCGATTTACAATGTAGTGATTTATCAAAATGTTGCATAGGCGTTTGTATGAGATTTGTCTCTTAGGGTTTACATTTTCCATTACAACAGTGAAAGGTTTTGGGTTGTGCACAGTAGAACAAGTTCTTGTTAATTGGGCTTCTGTGTGTTCAGGCTTTCTGGGGCATTTTTTGTGTGGGAAAATTACCTTTAATCGATGGTTTTTGCCTTGTGGACAAGATGCGTCTCCAATAAAATTTTGTTGATGGAATTTCATTCAACACCTGCCTATTATTAGTCATCCTTTGTAACGGCCGAAATAAACAACATTATTATATATTTATGTGGCCATATAAATTGAAGTGGGATGATGTTTACGTTAATTAGGGACAGACACGGGTTTGAACAGGTTGATATTTTTTTTTGTTTTCATTACTTTGACTTGAAAATACAAATTTTATACTCGATATTGTCTCGTCTTAATAACTTTTAGGTTTTTTTTGTCTTGAATTTGTCTCGATTTTTAGATTAAAATTTATCAACTTTTTGTCCTGAACTTGTCTTGATTTTTAAATTAAAATCTTGACGTATATTAATATTTTAAAATAATTAAAATAATATCTTTATAATTATTTATTGTATTTCAAACGGTTAAGATAATATATTTTATAATTAAATAATATTTTAAAAATATAAAATATATTAACCGTGTCAGGTTGATCGATAATTTTTCACCTTGAATCCGGTTTCGTCCTACCTTAAAATTATACCTTATATAATTCATCCGTCTCGAGTCTTGAAATTTTTTAAAAAAAATCATCTCTATAGAATCAAGTCAAGTCGAAAACCATTAGTTTTGAGTATTTTGATCATCCTAAGTCGTTAATGCAGTGTTCACCGGTTTAACTTTACAATGGACTAGTCATTTGATCGTAGCTGTCCGTTGCATTAAAGCACCTGCCGTCACCACCCATGATCCCACTTTATCGACCACCAATGGGATTGAAGCCTGAAAAGTTAAACCATCAACGTGGCGTTCGGTCTACTTAAACAGATAGAACGACATGTGTGAACAGAGCCGCACGTGTTTTGTACGGTACAGTTGTTTAATAATCTCATTGGAGGATCGAAACTTTGACTTTGTTTTAATTTTCCTCCAATGAAAAAATATTACTGTGGCATTAAATTTTTAGGCTAAATTACATCGTTTCTAATTGAATTTTATTCTCTCATATTTTACTTACCGTAGATTTAATTTTTTTTATTTCTCATTAAATTTTTAAGATTACATCATTTTGTTTATTTGTCGTTAACTTTTTAACGGTATTATGACATGGCACAAGCATCGAAACGACGTCATTTTGAAAAACTCAAATATATACAAAAGCGACATCATTTTGAATCTTATTCTTTCCTCTCATTTTCTCTCTACTTTGTAAATAAGGTGATCGGTTGAAGCCACCAGCCATCACGGTATTTTCCATTTTGATCACTGCTTATCGTCATTGATGGTGGCCGTTCCGTCTCAAAATTCATGGGTCAGTTCGTCTCAACCCACTGAGTCCGAATTTGGTAGTTGTTTCAATATAAAATATCCCAAAATTCATGAATCTAGACTGAAACTTTTTGATTTCTTCACTTTCAATCTCTAATTCATTGACTTCAAAGGAAGTTCCGACAAAATAGATGTCGGATTCAGACTGAAGGAGTCGAGGTGAAGCAATCCATGAAATTTGGGACTGAACAACCACCATCTACGGCGGTTGACAGTGGCACCCTACCACCTCATGTTTTTATTTTATAGTTGGGTGGGCAAATAGGAGAAATAAAAAGTTTAGTGAGGAAAGATGTAATTTACCTTTTATATTTTCAATTATTTACTAAATAATTAAAAAAAATAACACATCATCAAATCATTAGAGAGATAACAAAAGAGTAAGCAAAATGTTTTAATATGTAAAGTTTCAATGAGCAAATTAGAAAATTAAAAATACGACGAGTAAAATAGAAGAGATAGAATAAAATTCAATGGTGTAATCTACCCTTTTTTTATAGAGAGGAATTCTCATTTTCGTTATTGATGGTCAATCATCATATTAATTTTCCACGAATTTAATTAAATAATAATAAGTCCTAAAGAAAAAAATATTCTAAAGAATTCAAGCAATTTTCTTTGTAAGTCATAAGTAAATTATTAAATTTTAAAGGATTATAATAGATTTCATCATTACTTTAGATTAATAATTAAATTAAAATGATATTATTTTCTAGGGGCTAAAATATAATTTTAGCTTCAATTTTTATACTTTAAAAAGGATTAAATTTAAAGTTTTACCATTTTAAACCTAATATCAACTAAAACTTATTTAATAAAAATTTACGAACTGAACGAACACGAACGAGGGTTTGTTCATGTTCGTTCGTTTAACTTTAACCGAACAAATGAACGAACACGAACATAAACAAACGAAAAAAATTCTTATTTGTGTTCGGTCGTTAAAGAATGTAGATTGTTCGTATTCGTTCATGTTTGTTCATTTAAATGATAATCAAATACAAATGAACGAACATAAACGAACACAAATGAACGAACGTAAACGAACACAAATGAACGAACGTAAACGAATACAATAAACGAATATAAACGAACACAAACGAACCAACATAAATGCAAATATTTTTTTCTTTCCTAAAAATTTTAGGATTATATTTAATTTAATTTTTGAGCTTTTTTTATTTGTATTTAAAATTAATTGAATTTTAAAATATTTATGGCTATCATATTAAAATTTATTGAGCTTTAATATTTTAAATGAGTTTAGAGATATTGGGCTAAACATAAATGAACGCACATAAACGAATATAAATGAACGAACATATTACCGAACGTTCACGAACGAACAACCCTCTGTTAATGTTTGTTCATTTAATTAAACGAACACAAATTATTGTTCATGTTCGTTCGTTTAATAAATAAACGAACTTCCCGCCGAACGGTTCGCTGAACGTTCGGTTCGTTTAAAGATCTATACATTGGAATTAAGCTAGTGTTATTAATTGTTTGCAGATATTGGACTAAAATATAAAAATTGGTTCCATAATTACACATCTAGAAATTTCTAGGGTGGGCAGGATCATTGGAGCAATAAAACCCCCTTTATTACTTATACTTTTAATTATTATCATATAAATTCGAAATATTTTGTATTTATTAATATTGATTCCCAAATGAATACTATATGTTTTAATACTAAATCGGAAAATAAATAAATATTGTCACACTATCTTACTAAGCCCTACTCATATTAAAATTCTCATGGCCGTCCCCCAACTTCAAATTGCTTTACCTCACTCTTATAACGTGATATGTTTTTGGATAAACTATGCAGATGGCCCTCTATGTTTTTTGTCTGTCCAAATTTGGTCACTAATTTAAAAATTAAGGAGGAATGGTCCCTAATATTATCAAGCCATTCAATTTTAGTCCCTAACCTTATCGATCCATTCGCTTTTAGTCACTCACCATGTTAGGGACTTAAACAAAAGGGGGTTAACAAAAATTAATCATCAAGGGACTAAAATCAAATGAATAGTTAACATTAGGGACCATTTTCCATATTTTAAAATTGAGGACCAAAGAAGATTAGACCTAAACATAGGGGGACTATCTGGATAGTTTACCCTTTTCTTTTTAAAGAGTTAAAAGACAAATGAAAAATAATTTGGAAAAGAAAACACTTCCGGCCAAACTCTAATCCTTAAAATAAGTCGAATACATAGAAGCAATATAATAATAATAATAATAATAATAATAATTGTATTTTAAAAAAATTATAAATTCGAATATGTTTTAGGTTGTATTAATCTCTAATTTATAGGGGGGAAATAATGCTCCATACCATCCTCTAAATCTCCGTTCTCATATCGAATTATAATAAATTCACATAAATATATCCAAATAATTATTATATTAATTAATTATAAAACATAATATAAATAATATGTAATCACTCGAAATTAATAAACTGGTGAACAATTGGGACATAGATTAGAGGCAACAACCCTTTTGGTGAAAAGATTAGCCACTGTAGGAACGTAGTTAAAAAGAGTCTTCATTTCTTATTTTATAATGAAATTATATAATTTTAATACAAAATAAGAAATTATATTGAAATTTTAGTATATAATTTCTGATTTTATTTTTATCGACTAAATTGATATCATTTAATTCATAATATCAATGATAGATTTGTTGAAGTCTTGCAAAATAAAAACTACATTTACTAAACTAATTTGTAGTAATAGCGAGATCGTGTCAAATCCTAAGAGAGCAGAAATTAGAATCTCAATGTTGAAACAATGAAAATAAAGTTGGGAGTTGTAGTAATAGTGAGATCAAGTCGAATATCAAGAGAGCTAAAATTAGAATATGATGTTAAATAATAAAAGTAAAATTGGTAAGAAATAAAAATAAATAAATAAATAAAAAATCGATTCTTACCAAACTTCCAATTCGAAGGTGTGTTCTTCATCCGACTACAATTTTAATCATAGGTTTAAAAGTTCGAGTTTTCAATATCTAAGTAATTAGTCACTCGCTTGGACCAGAAACAAGCATGGTTCCCCTTTTATAATTGATTAGCCTACTCGTTTGCAACAAGCATTCGAATCAAATCTTACTATTCATGATAGCATTAAAAATAGAACTTGCAAACATTCTGCTCTCTCCCTACGTAGACACAGTTACTAGCTTAATTAAAGCTTCAAGATGACTACATTTGGTGTTCTACGGAGTACAGACCATGCAATTCCCAAGGAGTATCTTTAACGACTACCAAAGAAATAAATATAACTCAAAGCCAAGACAGCCAAATGAATTCATATTTGGTTGGCTGTAAACGTTATTTTCGATAATTTTACATTATTAATAGTGAATTTTTTGAGGTATATTACTGTGAATGTCATTATCTTCTTTTCTTAGGTATTGTTGGATTACCGGCGTTTTGGACTAAAATGCCCTTAAAAAAATTTCTTTAAAAAATATTCTTATTTTGTCATTGAATAATAAAAATTCTACGAAGGTTAAATTATAAATTTCTCCTTAAACTATTTTAGATTTACAAAAAAAAAATTATAATTAAAATTTTATATGAAGTTTAGGGGTTAAAATAAAATTTTATCCTTTCATTAAACTTTTTATATTTTAAATTTTGTAAAAAAATATTATATAAATTTTATGAATTTAAAATTTTTAAATAAAATATATAAATATTTTCCAACTTGTTAAAAAAACAAATATATAATAAGGACAATTTGGTCAAATATACATTCCAATAATCTTTTATTCATTTAACCAAATACGGTAATCTTACATTCCTGCTAAACCAATCAAACACAAAATACAACATTCTAGTAATTTTTTTTATCACTGGTAATCTTACATTCCGTGAACTAAACGCACCCTTAGTATGATTCTCCGAAACCAGTCCAAGATTCCATAGGTGCTGCAGGTAAGCACTGCTGATAATTTACCAAATAATGCAATGGAATGCTCCTAGAAAAACGATGACATAGATTAAACCAGGATATCAACAAGAATGAAGCTTAGGAAACAAAAGACCACCTGAAATGGTGTTCAGATTCAATCTAGCAACCTAGTTTGAATGCTGCAACAACGATTAATTAGCAATGTGGCCCAGTACCCGTCGTCTGGTATATCGAAACATGGTGCCTCGGTGCAAGGGCTCAACCGAGAATACTTTTCACGGGGAGAAGAAAGTAAAATTGCTTGTCGCCGATTTGGAGGAGGTCTTGTGAATCGAGCTTGACGGGAGTGTTACCGGGGAAGTGGAGGACGCCTTCGACGAGACAGCCGTTTTTGCCGAGGGTTTCGAGCGCGAAACGGCGTCGGGTGAAGTCGTAGAAGATGCGGGAGTGGCGGCGGGAAATGTTCATACCGCCTCCGAGGCTCGCTAAGTCGACATCGACGGTGGATTTCTTGGAGTTGCGGCCGAGCATTATGGAGTAGGTTTGCATGTAGTACTCGAAGTCTTCACCTTGTAGCTTGGCAAATCCCTGCTCCACGTCGCTCCCACCCGTCGTCCCCATCGGTCAATTTCGGTTTATTGAATTATTGATTGATCGAATGGCATTGTCTCACAGCACTTTCTTCTTCTTTTGTTCTCTTTGGACAATAAATACTTTGTTACTACTGATATTAAAGATGAGTTAGATTAGAGTAAACTAGATAATTGAAGATGGGTTTGCTAACTGATAATGAAGAGTAGACAAAACTTATTATTGTTTGTTATCTCAAGAACTCCTTTCTTCGTGATTTTGTCTACTTCGTTCGCAGTTTAGCTTCTCATGCTTATTCATTCTGTTTTTCAGGTGCACAATTTTCTTCTGAGCTAATTTGCATTGCACTCCAATGAAGCATGTCCTAAAGCTTTTCTCTCTGCTGGTGGTCATTTCTGCGCTTGGATCGGACTCTTGCAGGCATCCATAATACCACGAGTCCATACTTGGTTGGTGAGTTTCTTTCTTTGCTTTGCTTAGATGTTCTGTTTTACTTATGCCTACTTATTCTAATGCATTGCCACTTCGTATGATAACATTTTCCCAGCTGCCAATCTATTTTATTGTATCACTTGGATGCTATGGTTTATTAATGGTCGGAGTTGGTCTAATGCGATTCCCTACTTGCCCTCAAGAAGCGTTGCTGCTGCAGCAGGTACTTTGCTTCTCTCTGTCTCGTTTTTTCGTGCACATCTCCCCCTTTCCTTTCCTCCCCTTCGTTTTCCATATGTTCTTAAGCAGAGTATGGTAAATATCTACTGGGGTTAGGACATAAGTTTTCTTCTTAACATCTTTTGAGAAGTTCGAATGTTGCGGTATGTTATAGGACATTGCCGAAGCCAAGGATTTCTGAAGAAGAAGGGCGTCGATGTCGGTTCCGATTGATGGTGCTCGGTAATATCTCTTCTCGGACCCAAGTGAGAGAAAAGGTACAAACTGGGAACTAACTCCAAAGTTTGCATAACTTTCATGGAAGAATTACATTGCCTTTGTGTCTTACAACATTTCTTTTAGTTATGCTTGTTGAGTCACTTTCCCATCAATAGAACACAGAAAATCTGAACAGAGCTTCATTGTTCATATATTGGATTCTTTGACCTCTTTGATATGATCCACTCTAGCCTAAATCCATATTCGAAGTACACATTCTAATATATCCTCGAAGGATCCTCCAAATATCGAAAAATTTAAAAAAGTCTAACCATATCCGTATTAGTTACTCTTGTACCCGACACACACACACGAGTTGATTTAGAAATCGAAGCACATCTCGAAACTCGAACTTTGATGGTAACCCTTTCCTCCTAAGTTGCTTAACTTCTTCCATGTTACTTGCCATTGTATTTGTTGAATTGTGTAAAGATCTCATATTTCATTGGGGTAAAACTATTTTCATGGTGTTTTCCCCCTAAATAAATGAATTTATAAAATGGGATATTCAACATCTTTGTTCCTTGATACAAAAATCTTATGAACCCTAACATTTTCCCATGCAATTATCACGTATCACATGTTTTGTTCCACTGACGGCTTATTCATGTCTGAGAATAAACAAAATTTTAAAAAGAAAAGGAAGGAAAATCCCTTTCACTAACATGATCGTTCATGTGCTTAATAAAATGATCGATCTATTAAAACTTCTTTTCACATTCGCCTCTGAAGTACTCGATTCGAAGTAATTTATTAATAGATCGGATATCGGTGGTTATAAAAAAATTTGTTTGAATTAAGAAGAAAAAAAACACAAAATTAAGATTATAGGTATAGCAAATAGAAAACAAACGTTTCCTTACCTAACGTAAAAAGAGAACGCAAGCTGGTACTAAAAAGAATTCTCTGAAAAGACTGAATGGTCCCCTGGCAAGCAGCTGCCCTTTGCTTAATATTTATTATTTTGGTTTAATACAAAAAAAATTATTATATCTAAAAATTGATTTTTTATGTCTGAATTTCGTTTATTAAAAATAAGTATATAATATTTTCTTTGTTATATTTTTAATTGTTTATCATTTTAAAAAACCAATATTAGTGATACATTATATATATATATATATTGATTTTTTTTATTTTTTAAAAATAAAATATTGTTTATATTTTTTTAAATCTGAATATTACATGTGTCTAATATCCCATTCCCCTTTTACTCATTTCCCGACCATCTCGTCTTCCCCTATTCACTTCGTCCGGCTCTGTTTCTTTACCCCATTTTTGTTCTCGGTGAAGCGTACTTTCGAACACTTTGCATTCCACTACTTTTTCTACTCCGACGCCTTCAATAGTTCAATGGCTCTCTCTCCTGATCCAGCCCTTTGAAGAAAAACAACAACAACCGAAACCCCATTTCTCTCGACCCGTTGAAGCATTGCTAATATAAAAGAAGAAGAAGAGAAATATGGGTGGTTTAAGAGAGTCATGGTGCTTCTGCAAAGGAGTGAGCAAGTCGGAAAGAATGAAGGGCACCATTCTCAAGTAAAGCTCCGGCAATGGCCAGAATTAACGGCGCCTCTGGGGATGGAATCCCGGTTACCGGATTCCTTATCCACCGGAATCTTCTATTGACTACTCACGTTAACCTCCCTTCTGTAGCTGCGGAGAGCTCCGAGGTCCGGCTCCAAAACGGGGTTGCTGTGCTCGTTCCTCACAGGTAATTTCCCATTTTTACCGGTTTATAATAGGGAAATTGAGGGATTTCAATAGTGACTTATGATTAGTTGATTAAAAATTTAAAGAAACGTGGGGTCCAGGATTGATAGTTGTAGAATTGATTTTTATACTGCATACAATTCGTAGCTTTGAGATTTGATTGAGCTAATTAATTTGGCTTTACCTTTCTGCTGATATCATTAAATGGCAGAACTTTTAGCTTTAAAGTTTACATTATTAAAAGAAAATTCTTTTTCGATCTTTGTCATAATTTTAACTGGTTTTTTCTTCCTATTTTTGTTGTCATTTCACCGTCATTAATTTACTGTGAATGCCTAAATAAATGCAATTTGTGCTTTCATTTTTCACCTTGAAGTTAAATCATTTAGATCTTTAGAGGATCTTAAAATTCATCTTGACTGGAAGATATGCAACCTAAGCTTCCCTTTTGAATCGATGTTTTAGTATGAGTATGAGGTGCTGATTAATTTGCTTAATTTAGTTAAATTTTAAAATTGGTTTATGCTTGAGGTGTGATAAGTATTATCTGAGTTTCTTCAGTGAAGTTCTTTGGATGAAGATGAAATAGGGTATGTTTCTCCTAAAATCGTGTAAGAATTTTATGCTAGCGAGCTGAAACTTAAATATTTAATGAACGAACTTATAAAATTTAGTAGGTGAAAACAGATCATAGAAAATATAAAGAAAATACTTAAATTATACGAGAATTTAAAATTTTCAGAATGACGGTTGTCCCGCCAGCTCCCCTCGGTCCATCCCTGCGTGTACATACAAGATAATTTAATTTTTCCTATCTAGCATGAGAAGGGGTTAATTAGTTCCATTGCTAAGTTAGTTCAATGCAATAGCCCTTGTCCATTACATAAATGCAAGAGTCATAATGAAAAATTGCTGATCGCACTGGGTTTGAATTGTGTAGCAAATCAGAGCATTATTAGGCTTTACTCTCAAGCTAATCATGAATCTTCACTCTTTCATCTTTTCCACATGGGTCACACATGACAGAACATTAGCCTTTGATTTGTTCAAAAATATGTTAGATAATATATAAAAATGTATTGTGCTAGCTAGTATGTATTTCCAGTATTCGGTGATAACATATTTATTCAACAGAATAAATGAAATGTATATACTGTTCCTTGCCATTTTCATTGTCTCAATGCAACGCTGATGTTCATATCTATAAATCCTAGCCAAAGAAATTTCGAAGTCTAATGTGATAAATTGGATATTTACTATGTAGTTACCTTTTTTTTTTGAGTTTTGATCCTTTTGTATGAATTGAAGCGGGAACTGGGAAGTACTTCTATCTCTCAACCTAACCCTTGATGCAACCCTAATATTATAATACTCCCTTTGCAAATGCTGTCTTCCCTTTCAACCCCATGTCCCTTTATTGGAGGCAAGCTCTTCTCTTTGGATGTAATTAAGCAGAGGTGGCTATAGGTGATGACCTGGTTAGTTCACTCACTGTCACAGAGCCGGTGTAAGCCCTTGATATTCTATTAAAAGTTGGAAAAATAGTCTGATCCCTGCTGTTTAATTGACTTGCTCTAGCCAGTTGATGTAGTTCTGGTTGTTCTCTAGGTTGGCCCAATTTTGTGGTTTAATAGTTGCTTGATTGAGGTTCCTCCTGTGATTTACTGATGTTGTGCACGGGCTAAGAAAAACAGATGGCAGATCTCCTGAATATTTCCAAATCTTCATTTATTTAGCAACACCCCAAATTTAACTCATGGTCTTCATTCTTATTGCAGGTTTTTCATTACCAGCTCTGTTTTAGATCTAACAATAGTGGGCTTAGATGCCCTGGATGGAGAATCAAATATCCAGGGGCACCAACCTCATTACTTGAAGACGTGTTCTAAACCAAATTTATATCTAGGAAGTGCTATTTACCTTCTAGATTACACCGAGAAACAAGAAGTAACAGTAGGTGAAGGGAAGGTGGTGATTGCCACAGATAATCTCATAAAACTGTCAACCGATGGAATAACTTGGAACCCTGGCTCAGCCGGATTTGATTCGCATGGGAACTTTGCATTTATGATCTGTGATCCCATGAAGCTAGCAACCTCTCCTAATACCAAGTCGTCCATGACTTCTTCTTCATCCTCATCATTGTGTAAGAAAGATACTCCTATGCAGTTCGGTGTTCCCATTCCCGTTATTTGTGATTGGTTAAACCAGCATTGGGAAGGCAGTCTTGATGAAGTTACCAAACCCAAGCTTCCAATTATTAGGTTGATGTCTTCGGGCCTGAAGAGTGAGCATTCTTCTGCATCCTTCACAATGCGCCAGGTTTTTAAATCAACAGGAGATGATAATGACATAACTCCATCTTCATCAAATATAATCACGAAAGGTAAGGATCAACCAGGACCAAGGAGTTCTGCTGTAGTGAACTCTCATGAAGAAGAGACGCCGTGTTCTGATCTACATGCTGCACATGTACAAGGAATCCCAACTCCTGAAATATATGAATCGCCAAAGTTGACCTCGGTCCTTAGGAAGAAAGAGACCAGCCAAATCCAGCTTTTGGATATAAATTTTCCTCCCAGGATTGTGAAGACTGCTGTAGTTTCGCAGCCTGCCAAACAAGAGCTTCCAAATTCAGGTGAGAATGCTTCGAAGGAGCTTCCTCCAGAAAGCCCATTGAGAGAAGAAGAGCAAATCAAGAATAGACTACATGCAAGTCCCAGTGAGGATGCTGATGTTGGCTCAATGGCATCTGTAAACGGGGCCCAAAGCGAGGTCCAATCTAGTTCATCTCCAGTAGAACGTCCCGAGATGTATAATGGGTACAGCAGTGAGGGGGAGACCATGTACTCTGCTGAGACTGCCGAGAGTCGAAACTACACAAGTCCGAAAGAAGGGAAGTTTCAGCAGGTTGGAAGGAGCCAAAGTTGTATGGGTTACACAAGATGGGGAACTGCTCAAAGAAACCCAGCGACTCACAGGGCATTGCTAGAAAAGCAAAGGAACTTCATACATGGAAAGAAGACTTACTCACAAGGGGCAACTTCTCAAAGAAGTAACGACTACTACAGCCCTACAGTCTCCTCAATCAGGAAGAAACGAAACAATTCGGAGCAGCCACCAACCAAACAACGCCAAAGCACCGGTCATTCATCCCCGAGATGGATGTTTTAATGATGCTAAAAAGCCATCAACAAATATATATATATATACCAAAATGTCTTTTCATTATCTGCATTTACTGCAAAGTAATTTGTTGAGACACCGTGCAGACGTTCAAGATGAAAAAGAAAAACATTCAGCCACCATGCCATGTTGTTCTCATCATTGTTCCAAGTAACCACATTGCTTATCCAATTGCATTTTCAGGCACAATTTCCGGTAAGTAGCTTTGACATCTTTTCTTTGTACATAGATGAAGACTGCATTATCAGAGCAGTTATTGCCTCATAAACCATTTAGAAAAGGGATGGTTTATGCTGTTACATGTTTCATTGTAAACGTGCATTAAGAGTGTAAATTAGGGGGATTGATATCCAGTTTAGTGAATTTGCACTAAATAAATGTTCATATTCACCTGATATCCATCCATCTTACATCAATCGCCAGAGCAACAGCTTTCGATTGTTTGGTTAAAATCAGAGCCTAAATAAACTAATTAGGAAGCCTGATGGAATATGATAATTATCAATAATATCAAGTCCTTCGTGGCACAATCAAGACATAATAACAACTTACCAATAGATTATAACCATTTTGAATCACTTAAACTATATTGCTTATCAAGCAAGTCAAGAAGTGTCGATAACTTGTGGTTCAAGGTAGATTTTCATACCTGGAATAGATATTCGAAGTTAAAGTGTAGGTAGCAATACCAAACTTGCTACTGACTTGGGAAATCACTAAGTTTTAGTCATGGTATTATACCCAAATGACAGTATCGATACTCAAGCATATTGAGTGAACAATACTCGTCATTTTAAAGCTGTAGTATCAATGGCATCCACTTGATTATCGATACCGTATGAAGATTCGGGCTTAGGGGAATTTAATTTTTTAAAAAAAAAAACTGCTTAGATAACTAATCAAATAGATTATCCGCTCAAACAAAGTTCAAAACATGTCAAATGTTCCAATATTCAAAGAAGGATTAGCTTAACCAGTGCCTATAGGCATCAGTTACGGATTATTGAATTATGAATTTTGATATTTTCTTCTTTTTGCTGTTAGGGCATGTACCAAAAGGCACTAGTAACATTTCCCTTCAAAGTTTTGTTCCATTGACATGCCAACTCCATTCAAGGGCAATATGAATTATCCCTGAAATAAAACAATCATAAGAACATCATTTAAAAGAACAAATAATAGCTTTCACAAAGCTGCCATATATCAAAAGACTACAAGGAAAATCACCAAGCTCCACGTCTTCCACAATGGAGTATTCATCGTTCAAACATAATTCGCTTTAATAACAACCTATGATTTCATTCTCTTTCACTAATGGAAATTTAACTATAAAATAAAGATATACAACATTACACTTACGTTACTAGTTTGGGCGTAGAGCTCATATTTAACTAGCTGATGGAAGGAAGACCCTGATTAGTTCCTTCACGACGACTCTTTTCCTGCAAGTTCGCCGTTTGCGCCGCTCAGCTAATGCAGTTTTAATGCATGTATTGCAGAATATGTGCCCACACCTTGTCGGCATCTCCTCGGTGAATGAACCCATGCAAATTGGACAATTGAAGGTTGGTTTCTGTGGGGGTGGTTGCGGCTTTATGATTTCCTGGACCTGCCAATAGAATAGTTAATGAGACTTAAAATTTCCTTAACCCATGCACCACTATGAGAACACATTCATGGATAAAAATAACAAGAGATCTCCAATCACAATGTCTTAGATAGCCAGCCAAACTCATAGATTCTTTCCTTGAAAATATTAGATTACATCTTTTGAATAATGAACAGATGCAAGAGCTCTTACAATAGACTGTGGTGTGCTTTCCAAATTAATGTAATGATCACAATTGATAACTGTTTGGCTCGGATTAAGTCTTCTACGTTTGTTCTGACTATTAGTTGACCTACCCGGACACCCTGGAAGGAGAGAGAAGTGAGATACATCAACTTCAGACAGTAATCTAGGGTTTGAAAGATAAATGAATGAAACAAAGAACCACCATTCTCTAAACTGGTTGACCTGGGCAATCACATAACAAAAGGTTGGACTGGACCAAGATGTTGCCAAGCAATAGCATCTACCTCAGTTAAGGTCATATATTTTTTCTTATCATACTGCTTGAAATTAAAAAGAAATACTTTGACCTCATGCCGATAAATAAACTGAATTTGCAAGCTGCAATGGTGCATCAAAACAAGCTTTTGTTAAGCAACCAGCATAACATCCTTCTGCTGCAACACGATGGAAATATTATAAACATTCTTCCCTCATAAACTGAACTAGCTGAATCTACATCAACAGTCCTTCTACTGCTGCTCCTAGAATTATTTTTAGCCTGACATAAAATCCCAAGAATTAGTAACACCCATGATTGAAACGAATCCATAAAAACATGTCACATACAGTTAAAGAGAAGAAACAAAAAATATATTGAACAAGAGAAGCAAACCTCTGCAAATTCTGTAGCAGAAGATTCAATTGCATCATCTTCAATAGCTTCAACATCAATGGTATCAGGTCGCACAGGCTCTATCGAATAGCTGACCACTTCCTCGAGGTCAGCCTGTTCTCTAATATTATTTAAACACTATTAATTAAACAAAGTGATATCACTGGTTAAATATTTAGTAAGGTATATAAAATAAGTGATTTTAATAATAAAGAAATGATAATTATCTTTAAATATTTCGAGTTTGAGCATGACTTTCACAAGAACATTTAAATATTCATTGTTAAATAGTTAAAAGTCTTTGAATCGATACTATCTTATAAACACTTTTGATTTTTTTTATTTGGAGATGCTTAGATTTTTATTTATGAATCATTTCAAACAAGCTATAGAATTTCTTAAAAGTAATGAACAAATGTTTTCGTTTTGACAAAGCAAAGTTACAATTGCCCTACCATTGAAAGCTTTATATCAAAGCTTTTCAGTTAGTTTGACCATGAAGGCATTAACAGCAGCTGGATCCAACACAATCCATGAAGATTCAAACAGCTCATGGAAGAATTCAGCTCCGGTTTCCTCAGCCGCGTTCCGGAAAGCAAGACCGAATGCGTTTCCTTTAAGTGCTCCGAGACGAGGCTTCCCGCAGGCCCCGACAATCAACACCTTAGATGGCTCTTGCAGTATGCAGGCACAAAGCAAAGGCTTCAACTTAGCCCCTTTCTCCTTCAAGGCGTCCATTAGAAAGTAACAGAACTTAGTCAGAGCCTGGGGTTGGCCCAGCAGCTTTGTGTCTACTGAATCTTCAAGCTTCACCCACCTAAACTTCCTCCCAATCCTGATGCAGCCACTCTTTGTTATTGCAGCACTTCCTTGCCTAAGAATAGTGTCGTTACCGTCTTTCGGTTGGACTCAAAATTAAACTTCGACTTAGGAAAACTGATTTGAAATCGCCACCAACCATTTTAAAACGAATTTAGGTGGGTCGAACACCATCTTAACTGATCTACGTTTTAATAGAAATGTGTCGAGTTCGAAAGTCGATTACGGTCAAAGAAAAATTAGCACTCTTGAACCGCCCTTTCAATACCAATTAATTTGTTGGTTACCTTTACTTGCGAAAATTTAAATTTAAATTAAGATTTAAAAAACCCGATTCAAATTGCTTACCTTTAATCGATTAAAAATTACTACTGAAAATCAAAAATATTAGATAATAAATAAGAAAAATATCGAGTAAAAAAAATTAAATAATAATAGAAATAATAATACTAATTGTCTAACCTAACAAACGAATTAATTAAATTAATATCATTATTACTACTTTAGTTAAAATATGATTTAATTGTGATTAATGACCATATTTACTCCAAGTTAGTAAATTAGGATACACACAACACTTAATTATAAATTTATGGTGACTTTCAACTCATTAAACCAATGTTTTAACTATACTAATTAATGTCATATAAACCAAAATTTAAGAAAATGAATTCAACTAACCTAACCAAGCGAAATGGAGGCCACTTCCATTCAAATCAATCAGCAACAAATATTAAATAAAAAGCATGAGCCTTACTCAGAGTCCAAGCATTATGGCAAACCATAAAAGCAAGACAACTCTCTGTTCCCACTTACTGCCTTCGAGAGATGATCCTCTGCTTCTTTCTCTAGCCACCGCTTCATCTTCTCCCGTTATGCCGTCGTTCACGCTAAGCCTAGGTCACTGGTGATAATCGCTCGACCGAGATTCTTCCCTCGTTCCATCGTCTTGTCGTGTGGTCTTCATTCGAGCGTCGATAAGGTACAAAACCGAAACCCAACCATCATGAGGAATGTAACAGTTGTTCTCGGTAGCCAAAGGGGTCGGGTTACGTGCGAGGAGCCCAAATCGGCTGATATATTACATCTGCCCTTTGCCGTTGCTGGCCAAGGTGCATGCCGATTGTTTCCAGCTGCGGCTGCTGCCTGATTTCCTTGCTAGTTAACGACCGGTCGTGGGGGCGACAGAATCGGGCTGCCCTTTTGCATCGGCTGCCCCTATTTGCGTTACTGACGGCCCTTAATCTCATTGAAAACCCGCTGCTCGTTTCCCTCGTTCGAACCGGGTAACGGATGTATTTCCCTCCCATCTCCCTCGTTCGATTTGCATGCATATTTATAACTGCGAAGTATCCTATTTTTAGCGTTTGATTGGAACCAAAATACTTATCTTTTGCTGTTTGTTAGTGTCTGCGTATCACACGTCGCCGTTGTACCGGGAAAACCGGCGTTGGTTGCATGAGGACGAGGAGGGATCTTCTTTACGGTTGCGGCACTGATGGAGATAAGTGAGAAGCTAGGGTTTCCTTGGGGCCGGTTCGGGTTGAGCTCCACTAGATCCGAGTAGGGTTACTGGTTCGGGTTGTAGCTGGGTTTAGTTTGGGCCACTGCTGTAATGGGCCAGCCATTTGTTGGACCTGAAAAATGAAATAGCAAAATTAATATGTAATAACATAATATGTATATATTTATAATATAATACATTATACATTAATTATATTAACATATAAATGTAAAATCGGACGAAAATGCATGTCTACAAATAGCTCTTTGTATATTGATTGCTTGTTGCATTCCGGATTTCAATATTACCTAGGGACAGAGCATCATATGCCAAACCCAACTGCTTCGAAGCACACGTGCCATTCGATTGCATGGATGATTCAAGCAATGCAGTAACCCCATATACCATATCTGCTGCTGAAACCCTTTAAGTATAACCATGTAGACGCAAGAAGCTTTTGTAGTAGATATCGTTTAAGTCCGTATTCGGGCAAGATTTGTTCAAATTGATCTTTCATCTTCTGTTTTACTTTGTGATTCATGTACTGAAACTTCTGCTGGCAATCCACAAGCGCAAATCCCATCCTTGCAAGAAGTTTAAGCTTTTTCATGCCATTGTCACTCCAGGTCTTCAACTTAGGGGCAATGTATGAGGAGCACAGCATTGAATCGAATAAATTCCACTCTCTTAACAACATAAGTCTTGGTTCTTCTTCATAGGCGATTCTCGAGGAATCCGGTGCTCGAACCTTGGTACCATCTTTAAGAGTCACCGAAATAACAGCATCAACAGTCCCTAAACTGTTAATATACTGCTAAAGCTCCATAACCCCAGCTTCATACCTCTCATCTGTTAGCCTTTCGTGAACAAACTGATCAGTAAGTGAAACACAAGCCAGCCAAAGCAACTCGTTCGTGTTTTTCCTCAAAGAATGTGACAAGTCATACATCAAACACCCTGATGGCTTGCCATGGAAAGTTCCACATCCGATAATAATCCCTGTTCAGTTTCTTAAAACGCCGTGACGCTGGTTCTTCTTCACCTTCTGAAGACATTCTTCTTCTTTTCCTAGAACCTTCCCTGGCTCTCTCTTCCGCCTCTTCCTCCTCGTCTTCGTCCTCACTTTCGCTATCTTCATCTCCTTCACTGTGCAAAGAATAGCTAGCATTTGCCAACTCCATAACCTCAAAATCATAGGCTAGATCACCCAACCGTTCATCATCATTAGTATAAAGAACAACCACCTGATCATTCTGGTCACTCAAGTTATGCAAATGAATCGGCCTATGACTATCAACAACAAAAACTCTCGCAGCTGACCCCTAACTTAAGATCCTCCTGTAGGTCACGGCGGCACCCCCAGTTTATCAAAAGCATAGTAACGGGCTCTTCAGAGGAAGAACTCAATTCAGATGCAGCATATTCTCGGATTTCTTGAAAAGAAGACACCGGATAACACGAGTACCAGACCGAATCAGATTCGAGAATGTGGAAAATGATTTTGAGAGCACAAAGAGAGTCAACATCAGAGGAGGACGGGAATATAAGCAATGGCGAGAGAGAAGACGCCCTAGCGGATTCCTGAGCCTTGAGTAAAATGAATCCACTCTTTCCTCCCTCACCATTCTCTTTCGTTTCACTCAATTGGGTGCTCAAATTTGATGGACAAATTGGAAACTTTTCTCGGGAAAGTAACAAAAAAACTGGGAATTCGGAGTAAAAATTTAAGATCCGGAAACAAAAATCCCCCTCTTTTCTTCACGTTATTTAAATAGATTGCATCCTAAATATAAGATCTAAAAGAAGAAGCTCGTGCTATAATTTGATTCAAATTAAACTATTCATTGGGTATCAAAAATCCATAAAATTGAGGCAATTCCAAACAAACAGCAAAACTAAAGCCAGATTATAAATCGGTGATATAATAAAAATACAGAGGAACGATTTAAGAAGGCGAATACTTTGACTTGAAAGAAACCATAAAGTAATATTGCTTAGATACTGAGACTGAAGAAGGAGAAAGAAATGGTGAAAGTTTCTCAGCGTTTATTGCTTGCTTATCTTGAAATCCAGATCTGAGCAAAAGGAAAGAGGGGAGCGCTCTCTTTTTGTTTTAGCTGTAAATGACGTTCATTTGGTTTTTTGAATTCTGGTGGGATTTCATTGAAATTTTGAATTGTTTTGAGCGACCGCCATATTTTGGCGCTCTTGAGTTTCGCTTTATATTAATATATTTGACAAATTGCATAAGAGGGTCCCTGTATTTTTTAAAAACCCAATTTGGTTCTCGTATATTTCTCAATGTTTCCTTTCAACTCATAAAATAAAACTCAATGTGACCATTTGACCAACGTTTTTTATTGTTGACTATTACGGTGATAATGTGACAGTTCACTATACTGATGTGGTAGTTCACAGTGGTTGATAATGTGACGGATGAAATGACAAATGAGCTAAATTGGCTCAAACATGGCATATGGACTACCATCACCACTAGGACCGCCATGTCAACATCGTGAACTACCACGTCAGCACCGTAACGATCAACGACGGAAAAACATTGGTCAAATGGTCAAATTGGGTTTGTTTTCTGAATTGGAGGACCACATTGAGATAAAAATAATACGAGGGTCACATTAATGTTTTTTCAAAAGTATAAGGACCTTTGATGCCTTTTTGCCTATAGATTTTGATACCTAAATTTTGCTTCAAGGTACAATTTGGTACCTAAGTTTTTTTATAGTCCTATTGGATACTTAAACTTAACTTTAAAGCTCAATTTGGTCCCTAAATTTTGTTCAATTAGGCATCTGGACTTACCTTTTAAATTCAAATTAATATTTAAACTTGATTTTATTATTCAATAAATTATTATCGTAAGTAATAATTTGGACCCAAAAAATGAAAAGGTAAACTATGCCAGTGGTCACTCATTTTTGGAGTAGTTTTCGTTTTCACCACTTCTGTTTAAAAAGTTACAAATTGATCACTAACGTTATCGTTTGTTACAAAATGGTCACTCGACGTTAACAGCCGTTAATAGGCGTGACGGAAAACACAATTGGACCGTTATATACATGGATTCTTCTTCCTCAACCCAACCCCGTCTTCTTCCTCAACCCAACCCCGTTTTCTTCCTTAACACCATTTTACACACACACCATGAAAGACACACTC